GGCGGGGTTACAGCAACTATAACGCACCATATCTCTGAAACTGAAGCGCTCAACTTGCCAGGAATGTGTGCAGCAAGTTAACAAAAATGACATTTCACACTGCCACAAGTTTGTAGCAAGTTATCCTTGCTATCTGGGGTGCTAGGCATCGGAGCATTTGGGCGAGTACGAGTACTCTTATTAGATAGAAAAAGGTACTCACCCAAATACTCGGCATCGGCACAGATACCGATACAAGTATCGGTGCATACCTACTTTTCGTGAAATACAAATTTACACCATATTTAATGTGCACACCAAAACACTGGTACCTTGCTTACATTTGATGGGTTGCAGAATATTCCAAATTCTCTTGTTGCACTTTTGTTATCTTGTAGAGAGGTTTAGCCAGTTTAACGGTGTGCTGGCTAGTGTTCTCTAAGCACGGTTTATTTTCTCAGTAACATGTTGTGTTGAGCTGGCTCCAGCAGGGTTTTCCTAGAGACATTCTAGTACATTCTTGACTGGATAATGTCAAGCAGTGCAACATTACCCAGTACATTTTTTAGTTACCTTCCCAGCACACTGGCCCCAAGTCCTCAGCTATCCTTGCCTTGGACTTCTGGGTAGTGAAGCACATACCTCCCATATGTTAGAGTGTGTTCCCTGTGCCCTTCACATGCACATTACAACAGGGACCACTCAGTCTCCAGTTGCTGTCTGTCAGCAGCTGGAGAAAGGAGTGGCTTGCTGCTTGGGCTCCCAGCTTCAATGGACTTATGAAGACTCATCTGTGTAGCTAGGCGCGCGTGCGCACCCAAAGGTGTCTTCATGGCTCCCTGCAAGGGCGATGGAGCTAATTGCAGACAGGAACCTAAGAGGGGGATTTTTTACATGAGGATTTAAAAGCGGCCACCGTGTTAAAAGAAAAATGGACATACAAACAAGGTGAGTGTTGAGGTCTACAGCACGTGGTTATTTTTAATTAGGGTTTAGTATCACTTTAAGGATGTTTAAAGCACAAGTAAACCTAAAAATGTGCACAAACTGCAAGAAAGCAGAGATTCAGCTGCTTATAACCTGTAGCAGATTTTTATCTGTTGTGTACACTGTACGGTGCATGTACTGTGCAGAGTACTACCCTGGGTTCCTTCTAGCATCTATAATATGCCGGGAATGAAACCAGGTGCCGAGGACGTAACTCTTGTGTACATGCGCATTAATCAAACAGTGGTGAATGGCGGTGGTGAATACAGCAGCGAATGACAGCATAGATTGGTCAGCACTGGAGGAGCGCACACTTGTCAGTTAAGTGACAAACGTTAAACTTTTTCTTAGGAACTGTACTTTACGCTTTAATACCAGCTCAATCAACAGGCTTGGGGGGCTTGCTAGGAGTGATATTAAATACCTGAAAAAATTCCTGACACATGATCTTAGGGCTTGGGCGTTTTTCAGCGCGTTTCCACGGGCTGAAATACGCCCAGTTGGGAACCATGCCCATAGGAATTTATGGGATTTCACTTGCTGAGTGTTTTTCAGCGCTTCGATCAGCGCTGAAAAACGCCCAGGTGTAAACCCAGCCCAAGGGCAGGGACTGATGTAAAGCGCTAAGTAAATTGTCAGTGCTATATAAATAAGTTAAGTAAATAAATAAATAAAGCAAAGTAACTGGCACTCGTCATTCTGAACATCCAGAAGAACTGCACCCTAAGACGAATGTTCCTGGGACATTTATCGCCAAGTTAGTGGGTCTAGGACATTTGCAATGTAGCTATTGGGTTGCTGAAGAGCCATATTCTTTCATATTATGTCTGCTTGGTTATCTATAGTGCTACACATTGATACATTTAAACTAGTCTTAAAGGAGAACTATGAGGTGAGTGCTTTTCACTCACCTCATAGTTCTAGCCGACCTGTGACAATGAGACTGTCACAGGTCGGCTCAGTAGATCGGGAGGTGAGCCAACACATACCGGCGTTTGCTCACCTCTCGATCCTGTCACGGCTCTCTGCCATGACAGGGGAGGGGCCGGATTCCCCCCTCCGATCCGCCAGCGCTGACTGGCAGAACGGGCGGGGGAGGGGGCGGGTACAGCTGGCTCTGCCTCTAGATAGGCAGAGCCAGGTGTCAGTCACGCAGCTGGGCGGATCCCGGCATAATTGTCGGGATCCGCTTCAGCTGCGGCGTCTCAGTATACCGCGAGCAGCAGCTGAGCCTAGGGTGACGGGAGGACGCTAGTTTGTGTCCTCCCGTGACCCTTAGGAGAACTATGGGGAAAAGCCTTAACCCCAAAGTTCTCTTTTAAAGTCCAAGTGAAACATCTCTCTTGTGCCTTTCAGTATGCATGTTTCATTCATGTGCAAGCTTATGCAGGGAGCAGTGTTTACACAGAGCTGTGTTGTGCATGATTGGAGTGCTGCTTTTCTCCTACCTCAGCACAACAGATAAACGGTCATGAACTTATGTTGAAATAACTTTTTCTGGCAAAAACTCCCCTTGACAGACCTCAGATCACCAGCTCTCTCTCCTGCCAGGCGAGAGGTAAAGGACTGACTTGTTTTACTCTCTAAATTTATAAAAGTCAATGCTTACAATCTGTTGTGTGAGCCACCATGGGTCTTCTGCTGTTCTCCATCTGCTTGTTTATCTTTGGTCCTCCTCTGGCATCAACTTCCGAACCGTAAGTGGAAAACGAATAGACATTTATCCTCTTTATGTGCAAGCCTTTGACTTAAGCAGTTACACGTAAATAATTATATAGCTATATGTACCATGCGCTTTGCATATGTGAACACCTCGTTCTAACAGGCATCAATTGCTTGTGTTTTATTGTTGCAGAAAATGTTGAAGCCCAACTCAAACTGAAACATTTTTTTCAGATTTAAATTTAATATGGAAATTATAAGAACCTCTATTAGGTTTTTATCTTGGACTCCATTGGGGAGATTTCTATAAAAAAGTTATCCTACTAGGACAAGAGTTGAGGGGAACAGGGGTCACTGGGACAAAAATACACACAGCAGTTCTAATCATTTTAACCCCACTCTGCTAAAAACAATTGGGGACATTTATCAAAACCGGAGCAAACAGAATCTGCCCATGGCAACCAATCAACATCTCTCTTCAGTTTGTTCAGTTAAGCTTTGAAAACGAAATAGAGAAGCTGATTGGTTGCCATGGACAACTGCTCCAGATTTTGTCTGCTCTAGCTTTGATAAATTTCCCTCATTATGGTTTATTATAAGCAGAAACCAGTTCTTCTACCAGCATATACCGGTAATTGGATTGTGTGAGAAATACCGTAATTCTTTGCGGCAACCCTAAGAAAAACATAAGGAGAACACCAAGGTCTACGTGGATAGACGTAGAAATTGAACCAAGGACCCTAGTACTGCAGTCTGATGTGTATTAACCACTTAGCCACCATGAATGTGTTGGTGCCATAAGATGATATCCATACAAAAAAGGAACTTTATTTTGATAAGAATGTTATATAAGATTACACATTAAAGTGACGCTAATTCTTAAAAATACATTCAAGTATCTTAACTATTAACAATAATGTATCTTATTTGTGTATCACACGTCTGTAGATCCTCAAATCATCTCTGAGTTGGTGCTGATACTGTCCTTCCTTCTGGAGGGGGGCTACTTTTGTTCCCTATGGTCCCTGTGTGTGTTGTAAAGTAGTCACCGCTTCAAGCTCACTCTCGTAGTGGACTACAATCTCACGTTTAGTTTGCTCATTTGTATTGAGATTGCATGCTGGAGGTACTACGCATGCCCGCCCACCTGTTTGTTGCTCCCTGGACGGCAGAGCGGACAGCTGCAGCCAGGTAAGACATCCCCCGAAAATAAGACCTAGTGTCTTTTTTCGTGAAAAAAATAAAATAAGACACTGTCTTATTTTCGGGGAAACACGGTATCCCGCACGCAGCCCTATTCTTGGCATCTCATGGATGCTGGTATTGGACTGCAACTGTGCAGTAAACTGTGCACCACAGTCTGTGTACACAAACAAAAGGCAGGTGAAAGAGTTCTTTGGTAGAATGGACATACAAAGTCTCTTCTACCAAGAAAAAACAGTTTTAATAAAAAACGGGTTATACAGAGCTTTGAACGATGAACTGTTCTTGGTATACATGCTGTATGCTTTTTTCACATCAGTGAATCAGAGCCATGAAGCTGTAGATCAGGGGTAGCCAAACTGCGGCCCTCCAGCTGTGGGGAAACTACAAATACTTTCATCCATCTGCCTCAGTAGGCCTTGCCTGTCAGAGACTTGCAATGCCTAATGGGACTTGTAGTTTCATCACAGCTGGAGGGCCGCAGTTTGGCTACCCCTGCTGTAGATGAATAGGCCACTAGCATTTCCAGAGGAGGTTTAGTTTACAAAATCTCAAAAACAACTTCAGGTCTATGTGCAATGTATTTATAACTAAGGTAGACTACAATCCTATATGCTGCTTCATAATGATCATAATGATTGAATGTTTTCTTTTTATAATTAAAATAATGTATCTTTGTTATTGACTTTTTTAAATGTAAAATACCACATTACTATTACTCTCTGACACTTCTGGTTATGTCATGCCGTTGCAGATACTATATGGTGACCGTTCCAGCTCAGATGGTCTACCCATCACAAGATAGAGCATGTGTTCTCATTCTCCACCTGCAGGGGGAGATCAAACTGAAAATGGCACTAAAGAAAGATGACACCATTCATCAAGTAGCTGAGGATATTATAAACACCCCTAATTATGTACACTGTTATTCTTTCCAGGTGGGTACAAAACTAAGATTGACCATATTGCAAAATTGATAGGCTTTCTATAACTGGTCAGTGTGGGGTTAAATGCAGTTGGTAGTAAGTACATATGTAAGAGTTTGAGATGCTCCTTATTACTCTCCAACAAAGTGTTAAAATTGAACTTCAGTCAAACATCTAAATACATTGATACAGTGGCGTCACAAGGGGGGTGCGGGGGTTGCGGCCCGCACCCGGGTGACACCATTGGAGGGGTGACACCAAAATGACTCACAGTAATTTTGGTGTCACCCCCCTCTGAAAAGTCGGGTGCTCGGTCATGGACCAAACGCCTGACAGTATCAGGAGAGAGGAGGGGACCCGGCGGTATACCTTATCCCGCCGGGTGACTGTCCCCTCCTCTCTCTGCTGGCGTCCATCACCAAGATGGCCGCCGGCACCTGTCAGGTACCGAAGGGTACATCGAGTGAAGGAGTTGTGGGGTCCTGTACCACCTAGTTAGCAGTTTAAATCCGGATTCCTGGACTTTCGTGTGAATGGAGGATTTAAAGGTGAAGTAATGAAGTCTCGCTATTTGAGCAGAAGTAAAACTGATCCCCAGATCTCGTTCCCACTTGCGGATGTAAGCTGGGATGTCCTCTGCAATGGGGGCATTCAGTAGGGAATACATGTAGGATACCGCATGTCGTAAATTGTCTATATTATCACATTCCGCTTCAAAGGCAGTGAGCGGGCGGGAGAAGTTGGTGGCTTCGGGAAGCGTGTGTAAGAAGTGAGAGAGCTGGATGTTTTTCCAGAAGCTTTAGTTTTCCAGAAGCATAGTTGGCCATGAATCATTACTTAGAAAGTGTTTAGCTCTGAAACAGTTTGCCAATCTAAGTGATTTAAAAGCCCCGTCTTCCAGTCCTGGGGTGAAACCCGGGTTCCCCAGTATCGGGAAGAGAGGGGAGGGGTGTGGTGAAATATGCAGGGAATCAAAGACTTTCCTACAAATCTTCCAGGTGGCTCCTACTGTCGGATGTGATCTGATCTCCGCTGATACGAGTTCGTGGCACCAAGGAAGACACTGTAGAGGAATAGCTGATGCTGCCTGTTCTACTTGCAGCCAGGGCTTAGGATTATCATCCTGGCACCAGTCTACCACTCTGGCCAGATGGCAGGCGGTATAGTAGAGCGAGGCGTCGGGTAGGCTAATACCACCGTTCGCCTTTGAGAGACGTAGGAGTGCGAATTTCAACCTCGGGGGTTTGTGGGCCCAGAGGAACTGTGAAAACAGTCTATTTATAGATTTGAGGTACCCGAGGGGGATCTGGATCGGTAGAGCCTGGAAGAGGTATAAAATCCGGGGCATGATGTTCATCTTAATAATATTACACCTACCAAACCAGGAGAAATGGCCAGAGGTCCAATGGAGCAGGTCCTGTCTCAGCTTGAGGAGTAACGGTGGAAAGTTTAAGTTAAACGTCTCGGACAGGTTCTTTGGGATTTTGGTGCCTAGGTACGAGATCGCTGAGGTGGTCCACCGGAAGGCAAAGGGTTCGCGAAGACCATCGACCAGCGACGCGGGGAGAGAGACATTGAGTGCTGCCGATTTAGAGTAGTTAATTAGAAAATTAGAAAGTCTACCATATTTGCCAAATTCTTCTATTAAATTGGGCAGAGAGATGGCAGGGTTAGACAGGAAAAATAATAGATCGTCGGCAAAGGCAGCCACCTTTTGGGAGATGGATGGCCCCTTGGAGATGCCTGTGATGTCAGTGTGGGCTCGTATTCTACACAGGAAGGGCTCTAGGGTCAAGATAAACAGTAGAGGAGAGAGGGGGCAACCCTGTCTCGTGCCATTATGAATGTCTAGTGGCCGGGACAGGGAACCATTAATTTTGACCTGTGTGGTAGGGTGGGAATATATTCCCCCGATCCATGCCCTCATGCGATTACCAAGTCCAACATACTGCATTACCGAGTCCATGTACCTCCAATCCACCCTGTCAAAGGCCTTTTCGGCATCTGTGGACAACAGCATGAGTGGCAGGGACTGGGAGTTAGCGGTATGGAGAACGGCCAGGACTCTCGTAGTGTTGTCTCAGGCTTCTCTCGTGGGGACAAAGCCAGATTGGTCAAGATGTATCACTGCAGGCATTAGCGGGGCTAATCTTGACGCTAGAATCTTGGTAAATAATTTGACATCTACATTTAAGAGGGATATAGGCCTATAACTTGGGCATACTAGGGGGTCCTTACCTTCCTTGGGTATTACTGTAATGTGTGCTCTGAGGGTATCTAGTGGAAAAGCCCCCCCCGAACCCACCCCATTAAACGCCTCAACGAAGTAGGGGGAGAGGAGATCTTGGTATTGTTTATAATAGGCAAGGGTGAAGCCATCCGGACCGGGCGCCTTCCCCGCAGCAGTCTGTGAGATAGCTAGGGCCCGTTCTTCAGGGGTGATGGGAGAGTCCAAAGCTTGAATAGCCTCATTCGGGAGTCGAGGCATCCCTGAGCCCATCAGGTATTCGTGAATGTTCTCTATAGAAGGCCGGGTTCCTTGGGCCCCAGAATCACTCCTAAGGTTATAGAGGGATTCATAATAGAGCCGAAACGCCTCTGCTATGTCTCCGGTCTGGGAAACCTTTGCACTATTGCGAGTCAGAATCTCGGAGATAAAGGAACGTTCTCGTTGAGCTCGCAAAGCCCGAGACAGAATTTTCCCACATTTCTCTCCGTATTCATAGAAAGTATTTCTGCATCTAGTGAGCGCATTTTTTTCTTTAAACAAGTAAAGGGACTGTAGGCGGACCCTCAGAGCCGTCAGCTCACCCAAGGCTCCGGCTGCCAGGGTGCGTTTATGGAGAGTCTCTAGAGCGTGGATTTTGGCAAGTATATCGGTAATCTGGGCCTGTCGAGCACGTTTAACACGGGATCCGTGTTTGATAAGAACTCCCCTAATGTAGGCTTTGTGTGCCTCCCACAAAATCATGGGGGTACAATTCGGGGTGGCATTGGTGGAAAAATAGGATTGTAGTTCAGAGCGCACCGATTGAGATATAGAGTCATTTTGCAAGAGTGATTCATTTAGGCGCCATGTCCAGGGGGGAGGTGGTGACTGGGATAAGTCTATGGCCAGTGAAATCGCTGCATGGTCAGAGAGGGAGATAGAGCCAATAGTTGCGGTTTGTAAACGTGGGAGGTCAGTGTGTCTGACTAGGAACCAGTCGATTCTGGAGTAGGACTGATGTGGGTTAGAGAAAAACGTGTAGTCCCTGTCAGTGGGATGAAGCAGGCGCCAAGCATCTGTCAGCTGGTGCATTCGTAGGCATTTACGAATCCGTTTAAGTGCGGGGTAGGACATGCTGGAGGCAGACTTAGAGGAGTCTATCAATGGTTCTAGTACAAAGTTAAAGTCCCCCCCTACTACCCACACCCCGTCTGCAAAGAGTGAGAGACGTTCCAGTACCTGTTCCAAGTAGGAGATCTGGCGGGTATTGGGGAGATATAGATTGGCAAAGGTGCAAGGTTGGCCGCCCAGGGTCCCCTTGCCTTTGCTATATTTAATAACTGCTTCCCGTCCAGCCGTTGTAAATAAATGGCCGGACGGCGAACCATTAACAGCGTGTGGCCGGTTTCGACGTCCTTTCCCGCTCTTGCCCCCTCTGCTATCAGGAGCAGGAAATGTGAACACAGCTAGCCGCCAGCCAGTGACAGCTGTTACTATAGAGCTGCCCGACCGCTTGGATGGTGTGTGGGAATATGCAGATCCTCCTCTCTCCGCCACCGCTACTGGTTATCCCGCGCTCTGCTGTCCCCTGTGTGGGCCCAGGATCATCATAGTGGGTCTCTGCACAGAGATCAGAGGGAGATCATCACACGTCCACTGGTGCTATGTCAAATTTAGATTCTTACACTAGCTGCAATAAAATACATTTTACAATGTTTTCAGATATAAAGAAATCTTTAGGTAGTGCATTAATGTACAACTGCCTGCAGGTCACTTTTAAGTGTTTGTTATTTGAAAGTTAAAGTGTGTTTTGTGTTTCATCACATTTTACTTTAGAGGTTAAACAAATCTTTGTTTTAACAAACATGAAGTAATAATGGTTTAAACACCCACACAGTCAATATGTTGGCTTTACGCTGCCTGTTTTTCTGTTGTGGATTGTGTGATAAAAGATTAGAACATCTGTCAGGATTTGCCTGTGGCTGTTTCAAATTGCAATAGCCAATATCAGGCTGGCTATTGCACCCTACCCCAACTGCCTGCTGTCAGTCAGCAGAGGAATGAACCTGAAGGAGAAAGTTCTCCTTCAGGTCTGCTCCTCTGCTATTTGACAGCAGGGAGTGGGCGGGTGCAAAAGACAGCCTGTTATTGGCTATTGCAATCTGAAAAAGCTAATAGCAGACTGGCTATTGCTTTCCCTGCTATCTGCTATTTTTCTGTATTCTGCAGCCCCTGTCAGAATACCCAATGGCTCAATGGCTGCCAGCTCTGTTCCTACATAGATTTTCTGACCGGCTCCTTCGATCAGCTGATCGTGAGATGCCGGCCAGACAGCGGCACCCGCTGTTCAAGTTCCACTGTGTGAAATTTGCAGTGGTTATTATCAGTTGTATTGGTACATTTAACCGATACTGGTTGTTAAAAAAAATTGGGAATATCGGCCCCAATTAGATCTGATAATCGGTTGATTCCTACTGGGAACCCATGTGTATGCCATTTTGGTGTGACAAGTACTTTTATGGATATTATAGTTGTTATAGCTTTATATAAGATCTTACCCAATATCAACTGTCATCTGAATCATTTTCTGCTAGCTTCCTGCTGTTGTGGAGGATGAGGTCTGGCTGTTCCATGTTTCCATGGACGGGGAGCATTTGCACCTGGAGAAGACTAAGAAAGTTCTAATCTACAAAAGGTCCCATGTGACATTCATCCAGACAGATAAACCCTACTATAAACCTGGTCAGACAGGTAAATTGAAAAACACTGTATGCCTCTCTACATAATCCTGTTTGAGTATAATTAAATTGTTGGATATATTAAAGTGGACCTAGTATCAGATATACTTTGTCATGTTAAGAACATGCATGCTAAGTAATGTGTAAGAGTAACACTTCCAGGTATTTATTACCTCTCATAGAGATCACATCACTCGTCCTAGGTAGCAATTCATGTATCTGCCTTTTATCTCCAGAAAGATGAAGCCTTCTTTATTCAGACATTATCCAGGGTCAGCATCTACTTCCTAGACGTTGTCTCAGAGATGCCACCATCATGTATGTCCTGGTTCCTGTGCATTTCTTAGCTGTTTTTGCAAATGTCTGACTAAGATCAGCTTTGTGACTTGCTGCAAAGTTACATTTTTGTAGTCAATCTCTGAGGGGAGGGAGACTGAAGAAGTGCTTCCTCCTGCCTGCAAAAGACTGATGTCATCATCTCATTCTCAGCCTAAACAAAGTAATTGGTCTGAAGCTCTAGGTTTGCTTTTTAAAAATTAGAGATAAAGTTTTTTGAAAAATGATACTGTTACTGTATATAATGTAATTAATTCCTGCAGACATGTAAAGATACTAAAAGACCAATTTTTTTCTTCGCTTATTTAACATTTTGCAGTGAATTTTCGCATTGTAACACTGGACAACAATTTCCAAGCTCAGAATAAGAAGGTAAATATTGTAAATAATAATGAAACTCTCGGACTGCTTTTTGTTACTAGTTTAGTTATTTCCTGAGAACTGCTGAGAAAAGCTGATTCCTTTCAATTTTTGGCAGTTGTTGGGCTCTTTTATGTTTGGGTGGCTCTCTCCTATGATTTCTGTGCTCCAGCTCTAAGATGGTTCACCTATTCCAGGTATTGTTAAAAAAATGTTTTATGTTTCCTGTTTCATTTTCTTTCAGTTATGGTAAGTGTAACAGAAGAGAGAATGTCATACAGGGAATTAAAAAAACATTAAAAACGTAAACAAAAGCTTTGAACAACAAAATGCTGAAGACAAGGAATCCCATTAATGTGTATGGCCTCACTCATGAGTGCTTTGTCACAAGCAGAAAAATGCCTGATGCTGTAAAAAGTACATGAGATACTTTTTGGCAGATCACAGTGCATTTTGTCCCATAGACGTCAATGGAAAACACCTGGAAATCATGCGGCACAAGCGTTTTGCTGCATGTTTTCTCCTTTCAAATCGTGCAACAGACGCACAACAAAATCATCCACCAAACGTGAAAAAAACACTGTTGCCTAAGTGTGAATGGAGTCTTATTCTTTTAACTATGCAGATAAGATTTGTAATGGGCAATTGTCAATGTTATGTTATGTTGTTGGGTATTAAGATCTGAATTTGACTGAATGTCACAAATTGTTTTTCTTTTTACAGTATCCTCTGGTGGAAATAATGGTAAGATCTCCCATTCCACTGTAACATGAAATATACACCAATGGTGGTACATGGAATTTAGAAGGAGGGCTGCATAGAATCCATATAAGGGGACACTTCTGGTTCACATATTTGTCTTCTATCTCTACTGGCATTGAGCCATCATGAGATTTTTTTTTGAGGATATACAGCAACCACTCTTGTGAAAACTACTAGGCACTAGAGAGAACATAGTAAGTTAAACTGCTGAGTGGAAATTGACAATATTCTCACAGTGTGCTGAATCTCTCAAGTGCGAGACATGGGTATCAGCACAAGAAACTCAGCCAGAAAGGAAGAAGATTGTGCCACGATTTAGACATGAGAAAGTTCATCATGGTAATGGTGCATGGTTGACTAAAGTTTGGTAAACTCTGAAAGGTTTATATAAACCCGAACAATGAACTTCTTATTTGCTCCCTCTTGCTCTGTTAAATATACAAAAGTGATTTGTTATATGCGTTTGCTAAGTGAAAAGGTGCCAGAAATTCATTGGGTGTCTAACATCCTATGCACTCTTCCTGTGCTACACTGGAATCTCAAGCAGTGTTACCAGCCCTGCACATTTCATCTCGGTTGACTACAGAACACCTCCCTTCTATGTGATGGAAATAAGAAGGGGTATTTTGTAGTTCAAATCAGGAGCTTGTACAGTGATACAAATACAGGAGCTTGTATCACTGTACAAGCTCCTCCATAGACACACTACAGTGACTAAGCATTGCCACCCTCGGACAGGAAGGGCAGTACTGGCAGGATCACCAAGTGTAAATAAAGGGGAAAAAAATGAAAAGACAAAACAAATGCAGCCACCACATCTAAGAACTAGGAAGCTGCATTACACTACATTTATATCCTGGCCTTTATTCACAATATAAGTAATGCCACTTCTCCCATCTAATAATACCACGTTTATTTTATTTATGCAGTCGTATCTGTTCTGCAGTCTTTCTGTCTGTGACCATGTACAGCCTAATCTTTGCTAGTTTACAGTCTGAGCATCACTAGTGATAATCAGTCTGTGCATAGGATGACATACCAGGAGCCAAACACTTCCAGGGTGGAAGTGGCTAAAATGGTTCAAGCTGTTAACTGTTTTTTCCCAGGACCCGGATAACAATCGCATTGCACAATGGTTGGACGTCACTCCGAATCAAGGAATTGCTTCCCTTAGCTTCCCTCTGGCAAATGAGCTTAATCTCGGGGATTACACAATAAACATTCCTGAAACCTACAGGGTAACGTTCTCTGTATCTGAATATGGTGAGAGTAACTAATATTGGTCCCTTTTTGCATTATAAATACTGCAGACAGTTTGGATTTTAAGGGATATCTTTTATTGGCTAACTTGAGTTACTAAAGATTTAAGTTTTGGCGATGCTTTAGATTCTTTTTCAGGCTTTATACATTTCTAAAAATTGTTTCTGAACCCCACATATTTCTACATGGAGTTACATGGAGGAACAATGAAATATAAAATTTAAAAATTACAATCTTCTTTTCTTAAAGGAGAATTATGGGGTTAGTGAAAAACACTCACCCCCATAATTCAAACTGACCTGTGACAAAGAAGTGGTCACAGGTCGGCTCTATTTTATGGGTAGTGAGTGAACACATGCCGCCGATCACTGACTTCCGATCATCTCCCTGCAGAGAGCGGTGACTGTCAGTCACGGCTCCCCACAGGGTTTCCCTCATTCCCCTCTCCGATCCTCAAGCACTGACTGGAGGAACGGAAGTAGGGAGGGGGTGGGCACAGCTGGCTCTGCCTCTAGATAGGCAGAGCCTGCTGTCAATCAGCCAACAGGGTGGATCTCGACAGTATTGTCGGATCCGTCCCAGCGGCGGCGGTCTCAGTATATCTGTGTTTTGGGTTACGGGAGGAGGTTAGTATATGTCCTCCCGTGACCCTGAAGAGAACTATGAGGAATAAACGTTACCCCATAGTTCTCTTTTAACACACGAGTGGTAGAGGCTGTTGTAAAGGGTTAGGTTATAAAAATAGGGATCAGTTTTGAAGTGTTATTAGGGTAACTGACTTGAAGATAAGAAGTCCAGGTACGATTCTCACCTCAAGTAATGCCAAAATACCAGAGAATGAAACACAACCATTAATGAAATGCGAAAGTGCTGGTGAGACCCTACATTGTCATGGTTTGACCAGGGCTCTGTGGGGTCTCTACAGGGCTCTGACCAGGCTGGTGAGACCCCGCACAGCCCTGGTGAGACCCTACAGAACCCTGGTGCTGGTTAGACCCTACAGAGCCCTGGTCTCACCAGGGCTCTGTGGAGTCTCACCAGGGCTCTGTGGGATCTCACCAGAGCTCTGAGGGGTCTCACCAGTGCTCTGTGGGGTATAACCAGGCTGGTAAGACACCCACATAGCCCTGGTGAGGCACTGCAGAGCCCTGGTGCTGGTGAGACTCTGCAGAGCCCTGGTGAGACCCTACAGAGCACTGGTGCTGGTGAGACCCTACAGGGCTCTGTGGGGTCTCACCAGGGCTCTGTGGGGTCTCACCAAAGCTCTGAGGGGTCTTACCAGAGCTCTGAGGGGTCTCACCAGGGCTCTGTGGAGGTCTCACCAGGCTGGTGAGACCCCACAGAGTCCTGTTACTCATGGTTCATAGGATTTAAAGAATGTCCTAATGTATACGTTTCATACCTTTCATTTTTATCGCTTGCATTTTTTTCCATTATGGGCCTAAGTGGGGCCTCATGTTTAAGTTTTGCCTAAGGCCTCGCAAACTCTAGAGCCGCCACTGCTTTAACTAATTAGCTTTGCAAAGTGCACGGCCTTTACTTCCATTGCTATCACAGGGGTGTGGAATTCCTATCGCCCGACGCCCGGGACATGCAGTTTCGGGTGCCGGGCGAGTAGTTTTTATGTACATATAGCCCGGATCCGGGCAAGCAGAGCTGAATGTACAATGTGGAGCCGCCGGTGGGCAGGTTACATAAAGAGAACCTGTCACCTCCAAACTAACACATAAGGGATTTGAATCCCCTATGTGATAGGAAGAACATTAAGGGGGAGAAGTAAATAAATACAAATTTAAACAAAATTAAAAAAGTTAAAAAAAATAAAAATATATAAAGATTAAAAAAATATATAAAAAAGTAAAAAATAAAATAAAAAAATGAAACCCTGCTGCCCCTGCCATCTGCATGTAAGTGGCGTAAGCGGCGTAAGTGGCGTAAACGGCGGGCGATTTTAATCGACTTAATCGAATAACTGTTGCAGCTCTAGTAATATGTAATAATCAAAATTACTGATGAAATCTGGCCCCGTCTCTCCCAAACCGCCACCCCCTGGCTATACTTACCTTTCGGCGAACAATCCTTCCCCTCCTCCAGTATGGGTGCACTATCTGTCTCCCGTACTGCTGTCCAGCGCAGTCCTCCCCTACGCATTTTGAATTTCGCTCGCAAATTGCAAGCACTCATTTTGTCAACGTGGTCAGATAACTGTGCTGACCAGTGAGAAGCGCTATTTAGCACAGTCAAATATGTTTTGATTAGGGGTGCACTGATACTAGCATCAGTGCCGATACCGAATATTTGGGTGAGTACTCGTACTCACCCAAATGCTCCGATACCTTCCCCGATATTGGAACTTACGGCCAGATGAAAATTTCCTCTGACTGGCAGTGCCGTAGGGGAACTTGGAGCCAGCTTCCCATGCAATCAAGAAAGCCATGCGGCAAGTAATGACCCACCTCCTGGTTTTCTGATTGGCCGGGAAGCCGGCTCCTTGCTGATTGGCTGGAGAGCCGTCTTCCTGGCCAATCAGCATCGAGCCAGCTTCCCGGTCAATCAGGTCATTACTCACCACGCGGCTTCTTGATTGACCGGGAAGCAGGTTTCCCGGCCAATCACAATCAAGCAGGCCAAACAACATGGAGCTGGCTTCCGTGGCAATCAGGAACCTGGGCGGGATGTCATTACCTGCTGCCCGGTTTCCTGATTACCAGGGAAGCCTGCTCCATGCCAGCGGAAGCACCGGTATTAGTATTCAGTGTTGGCGAGATCCGAAAGCAAAAAAACGGTGCTCGTACTCGATACCGAAAAACCGGTATTGGTGCATCCTTAGTTTGGATTAAAACTATTTTTTTGTATTGGGACAAGTAGATTGTCATGAAGGACAAGTAGATTTGGCCCCCGCTTTAGCCCTTGGACAAGTTTTTTTTAATTTTCACACCCCTGTATCACCCTAGTCACAAGGGTATATAGGGTGCAAGGGAGAGTCAGCCAAAAGTGATATATCAGTGTTATGTTGGGCAGCTCAGTACTGATTTCAGAGACAATATAGCAGTTATATGGAAATTATGTCATATTTATATTTCCATTTAGTCCTGAGGAGATACAGCATTAATATTGAGGTCCCATCAATACTGGATGTGATGACAGATGACGCTGTAATAGTCAAAGCATGTAGCAGGTGAGTGTAATTGCATTATAATCCTTATGATTTTGCTTTAAAGGATAAGTGCACTTTAAAACAAAGTGCACTTATCCTTTTTGTCCCCACCCCTGACCGAATCAATGCCACCCTCCCGCTCTGCAGATCTGTACTTACCTAGATTCGATGGGCAAGCTTCAGCTTTTGCTTACATCAAGCACTGCAATCCTCCCTCTGCTGGCTGCACCTGCACATTACAGCCCCATAGACTTCTATGGGGTCCTCTCCCAGCAGGTCATGGTCAGGAAAGAGAGAATTGTGGGGATATCAACAAACAGCAGAGTAGCACCTCTCAGATCTCAGTAAGTATAGATCAAAGAAGGGCGAGAGTGGGATCGTTTAGGTCAGGGAAGACAGGCAAAAAGAATACCGTAAGTGTACAATGTCTAAATGCTGTGTGCAAGTTTACCTACAAAAATAGTCCATTCTGATATGCTATATATATGGAAGGAAGGCTTATACAATACACAGGCTGTTCACATTTAGGCCTGTCTTCAAGATATGAATGTTATCATAGTCTATATGTCAGTCACAATTTGCATTTGACAGTGTTTATCTGTGTTTGTCAGTTAGGCCTTGTTTACACTGGTGGCAAAGGGGCATAAAAGACAGGCAGTTGAGCCAAAAATGTTATGCCCTCGCCGCCTCCCTTCTCCGATAGCCAACCTGATATAGCGGCCACTTAGGCACGTATACATGCATGATTATTTTATACAGCATGTTGCACTTGACAGGTGGTGCCACTCACCAAACCCAAACATTGCAGTCAGTGGGAACATGCGACATGAAAAATTCCCTTTGGGACCAAAAAAGAAAAAGGAAAAAAAACAAGTAGTCAGGATGTAGTAGACATGTGTGCCCGCCAAAAATTTGTTTCAGTTTTTTTTCAGATTTTTCATTATTTCATTTTTCGGGATTCGGGTCCGAACGTCAATTCGTTTCGGGATTCAGATTTGGACATAATGCGAATTTTCGTTAATTTCGTTATCGGTAGTATGTATACACAAATTTTCGTTATGAGCGAATTTTCATTTTTAACTTTTTTTTTTTTACAGTTTGCAAAAGAGTAAAAAATAAATAAAAGTTTGGGGTTCCCTCAGAAAATCATACCAACACCTTTAGGTCTGGTATGGTCTGGTTCCTGGTCTGGTATGAGTTTTAAGGGGGAACCCCACCCCCAAAAAACAGGAAAAAAACATGGGGGTCCCCCCTACAATTCCCAAACAGAACCTTAATCTGAGCACAGGCCTGGCAGGGCAGTAAAGGGGGGTGGAGAGAGAAGCGAGCGCCCTCGCCCTCTCTGCACCATACCAGGCCACATGCCCTCGGCATTGGGAGGGTTCCCCCCTTGTCATGGGAAAATAAAAAAAGAGAACATATTCAGTATATCTCCCCAATATATGCACATGTCGCTATGTTTTATCCCTTAAAAGAACACTGCAAGTAAAGAAAAACACCTGTTGATCTAGAAAGTGTGGGCTTTTTAGTTGACAGTGGCTGTAAAGCCGCCTGATTGCTTCCATATGGGTGGCAAATAAAAAACACAAATGAAATTAAAAAGCACCCCATGTCCCCACACATATAAAGGCAAACACGCATTGGGTGCGCTAACATATGATATTGCCATGCATGCTGGAGTCATTCATGGTCAACTCTTATCTGTAATTGCTTTTAAAGCGTCACCTATGGGCAATTATGTGTACCGTAGTTTTTGTTCATTTCAGGGGTGCACACCATTTTGAGGCTTGATATGTTTGATATGATTTTACACGCCGTAAGCTAAAATTTTCTTTTTTGCCAAAAAATTGTATTGGTATTATATTGCGTTTGTGTGCACTGAAATTCATTTGAATGTATTTTTTACTGAAAACCTGGGTCTGATATCTGATATATGTGAAATGTGAAATGAAACTGCCAGCATTTTATTCTACAGGGCCTCTGCCTTCGTAAATGTATAATTATGGGTGGTTTTAAGTAATCTGCAGGCCTAAAATTTGCATTTTAACATGTGTGCAAAAAGGGTTAAATAATGCACTGCTTTTCAATTTCATTGGAGTTCTCTGTGTTCCAGTTACACCTATGGGAAACCAGTCATTGGCTTGATGAGCCTCTCTCTCTGCAAAGTTATGCTTCCTTCATGGTTCCTGAATTATGCCGATGATACAGAGGGTATTCTTTATGCCAGTGATGACGACTTAAAGGGCTGCATACACATAAAGGACATACAGGTGAGGAATCAGAAAGAAATACAATAGCTTAAGAGGTCTAGTCACAAAAATGTGATATTTTATGTGTAGGTGATGCCTGGTGTCTCAAGTCAGCCCTAGAGTTCTTGTCTGCTTCAGATTCTCCAACAGTGAGTTATCACTGCCATGATTTTTTTACTTTTTATGCCCACATGGGAGTTTTCAATGTTCCCACCATGCATGTGTGTTCCAGCGACTCCTGTTTCTTTCTCCATAATATAGAATATCAGGGGGAGTGGAATCCCCTCCTAATGACCTCACCAGTAGAGTGCTCAAGAGATATAGGAACCTGCCATGTGGTTTAATACTGGGAACACAGTAACGGGAGGGTGATTTTTAGTCACGCAATAATGCATGTGTAGCACCCCCCTGATCCCCAGAGGCCTGAGGTGGACACCCAAAGGGCATAGAGGGCTGACATTTCAATCTCAGGGTATAACGTACCTGGTTACCGCCGGCAGAGGAGGCAGGCACCAGGCTGTTGAATCACTGTTGAGGATCTCCTGGTTGACATCCCGTCTAGCAGATGGAGGAAAGACAGGAACGGGATTGCCCATTAGCGAATCAGCACTGAACACACAGGGACGAAGAAGATTATGGTACTCACGATGTGGGGGTATAATAACCCGCTGACGGGCTGGTATACGGACGAACCCCACTTTCTCTGTATGCTCTGGCGCTGTGTCTGCACAGCCCGACAAGCGTTGATCAGGTTCTGCAGCTGTGGTTCCGACTGCCCGGATACCTGCGTTGAAGCTTCCCGAAGAAGGCGGGTTAAGTCCAGTTCGTTTAGGGCGTTCATGCCCAACACCACGGGAATCTCTGGGAAGGAGGCATTCCGGGTCACCACAACCCCGACCCTTGGGAGGGTTTGCTCATAGACCTTCATAGACATCCAGGTGACCCCCACTACTGGAATAGGTAGGTTATTAGCAGCTTTCAACCTTAACCCCGAGGGGTCTAGAGTTGGGGTCGGCCCAAAATGTTGTTGGTAGAATGAATAGGCCATAGTAGTGACTTCTGATCCCGTGTCCACCAGACATCTGGCCGGTCGTCCGTTGAGCAGTACCGTCGCCACTGGCAACCAGAAATCATTGTAGGATTACGTTGGGGCCGTGAATGAACATTTCCTGCGGGTCGCCCCTTCACCACAGGAACCTCTAGTTTAAAGGATGGTGTGGTACTTTCTGGGCTCCCCGTCTCGTACACTTCCTGGCCGGGTGACCTAACCGTCCACACTGCCAGCATCTGCGGTCAGTATCGGGATCCCTTCGGAGTGGGTTGATCCCAGCCTTAGGTTGCTCGGACCCGCTCCTCAGCGCTGCTACTTCTTGCCGGAGGGAAGTGACTGAATCAACTAAGTCTCTTACGACCCTTTCTATTGAAGGCATCTCCCCATGCGAGGTGAGGCAGGACACGGGGCAGTCGCTTCCTATGGCCCGGATTACCGATACAGGACTCCGTAGGAACCCTGAACTATCCCTCACAGGCTGGAACACTCTCCCTGCACTTTCCTGACTCTCCCTCACAAGCGGGTCTCTGTCCCTGTCTACATCCACACGTGTTCTGACTACAAACGTGGTTGTGTTTCCTATATAAGATAACCACCCCAAAATGGCCGACCAAATCTCCTGAGATTTCCTGTCCAATCAGGACACCAGGCTTCTCCAAAATGGTGCTGGAGACAATTGTAGAGGCTAAACAGTGCTGAACATATTTACATATAAACATATAAAAATCGCTGAAAGTAGTTATATACACTTATTAACCCACTTTATCCTGCAGCCAGCTAGGCTGCCCTGTCACTGGCAACTGCCTACATGCAGGGGGCAGTAGGGGCTACACGTGCAATTATAGCACGATTGTACAATGACTGAAATGGGTTTAACAGTATTTGTTTTCTGCTGTGGGAAAGGAGGATAACTTTTTAATGGCCATGTTGTGCAAGTCTCTCTCTGGAAAAAGTATAAAAGAAGGCTTTCCTCAGAAAAATGTTGATACTGACATTATTGTCTGTGTGTCCTGGAAGCCCACTTCATGGTAGGAGCAAAGGCCAGTTACCTTACTTTTCTATAAATGAGTCTCTTGGAATATATGTATATTGCACAGTCCTTACAGTTGGTGAAGAAACATGTTCTCCAGTAATAGCTCCATAACTCCCTACTCCAACTCCCTAACTAAATATGGGTTCATATTGCCTAATCCCTTTAGAATATACAGCCATTGGAGCATTCACATGCAACCAAATTGTAATGTTTGGCAAGTCTGCAATAGTTTAGCAAGTCATTTTCAAACTTGCAGCTCAATTGCTTGCTATTTGGGCAGAACACAACAAAAAATATGCAGGTTTATTCCATAACACATATCCTTTTGGCAGTTGGAGTGTCAACCTACCTACTTTAGGTAGCTCAAGGGTAGCAATAAACAAGTGGATGTAAACCCTTTTTTAGGGGCTACCTTAGGGGGTGAAGTACAATGTTAATTGTGTATGCGTTGGTTCTGTACACTTAGCATGGGCATCAGCAATCCATGGCAGCGTACTGAGCAGATGTCTCCTAGTGCACTTCAACTAGAACTAAAAATGTTGCATAAAAGATCTGCAATTCTTATGACATCTTGGTGAATCATGATTTGTATGCACATTTTTCTCTATTCTGTTTTAGACTGATGACAAAGGCTGTATATCCAAGACATTTGACCTCAGTCTGTTCAACATCTCTCAGACTGACAGTTCGCAGCATTTAAAAGTCAGGGCTTTAATGACAGAGAAGGTTACAGGTGAGGATCAGACCATCATTTTTCAAATGCTAATACTGCAAGGTTTTAAAAGACAAGGAAAGATGTTCTATTACTTTAATGGTTGCACAAATTAATGGGCACAGAGGTATATCTTCCCCTATTGTTCCCAGCTCCACCACCACTATGATCATTACTTAAAAACAAGTGATCTATGTGATGGGCGATCCAGTTTCCTGGGGAGAGATATCCCCACCTGGGTCCCAGAAACTTTTAACTTGTTAGCAGCTGATCAAATTTCTCAAAGTTCACCCAAAAAGGGATTACCTAGTTAGGTGTACCATTAACTGCTGGGAATTGCTATCGATTATTTTGTGTAAGTTGCCTAAAACTGATCTCTTATGTTACAGACTGATTTAGCAATTTACTGTTGTTTTATCAAAAACTAACTATTGCAAGAGCCTGTCTGGATTTAAATTTAATAGATTGTTGAAGGCAGACCCTTACATTATAGAACTTTTGGTAAATTCCAAGTAGATTGTACAGAGATTGTAACGTGCGGTTGACTTTCGATGAAGGTTAGACAAGAGCTTCCTACGGTTACCTTGGGTGTAAACAGAATAGAGCCTGTTGTGAAAAACAGTCAAACTTTTTTTATGGTTTTGGATGGAGTAGGGGAGGACTATAAATCCTGTCAGGTTATTAACTTTTAACAATTACGTCAGATCGGTTGTTGAATTTGTATAGCTACCCATATGCATACTACAGTAATCGCAATAGTGGGTGATTTAGGATTAAATATATCTCCCGATTGTACAAAATATCTTTCAGAGCAAACATGGCGGAAAAATTGATCTGTAAAACTAGAATTTTTGGCCCTCTCTTTGATTAATAGGCTTTTTATATGTACCTAAAAGCAATTGTTTATATCAAGTGGGAATCTCACCTGTGTTTTAAGAGCAAATTATCTTATTTTATGTTACTTTGTGCAGTGCTCATTGTACAAAAAAATTATTTCTGGTGGCGAACACAGTCATATCTATGTGTAGTTTAAGGTTGATCACTCACAGTACTGATGCCAGCCTTAAGTGACATTGCTTGATACCAAATGTGGTCTATCATAGGCAATGGTGGAGGAACTCTCTACATGATTTCCAGAGACCTTAAAATGTCCTATAGGGATTCTTACTTTAGGAATATTTGTTTTCTTCCAGGTTTTCACGGCATGTGCTTAGAAAAAACCTCTATAGCCATAAAAAGGTCAGGTTGCTGCAGTCTTAATAAATATTGGCAGATCTCAGTTCTTCTTTGGTCAGAGGTCTGTCGGGTTATGGATGCTTTGGCAAGGCTTAGTAACATAGCTTTTGATGTCAAGTGTGGTCCATCATATAGGCGGTGGTGGAGGCATTCTCTGCATGGGTGCCAGAGACATTTAAAGAGTTCATGGGGGATTATTATGAACTTTTTTTATTGCAAATGCTTAGAATATTTCTAGAGCCAAAAAAGGGTCAAGTTCAAGTGTTATGAAGTCAGTAAAAATATAGGCAGATCCCTGTTCTGGTTATGGCCCAGTGCAGATAATGCTATTTTAACCAGTTGATATTATTTACTGGCATATGCATGGACAAAGCCTCTGTAGGCTCATGTTTTTGCCTTAATGTGTATTCTTTGTATAACAGTCCTGTATAACTGTTTATTTACCTATGACAATTCTCATACATGGTTCTTTCCAACAGGGAACACAGAACACTCGGCAGTTGTTTCCAGACTGGGCACTGTTGAATATTTGGCATTTTCTGAGGAAGTTGAATTTTACCAGCAAGGAGTTCCTTTAACAGTCAAGGTAAAGATGTCTACAGTTGACTTCATTTGTGGCAGTGGGTTTTCAGAAGTGTATTTTCAGTTAAGGGGTTTTTTTTCTAACCATACCAAATATTATTGTTACAAGGTCTTTTAGACCAAAGTTTAAAGTTGAGTTTTCTTTAACCTTTGGGTTATACAGGAGGATTAGACTGTGGCAAACAAAAAAAACTGTAGGCCAGCCAGGATAACCCCTGCAACTTCCAGTATGCCTCTTTTGTATTTTTGCTAGTCTACTAGGGGGAAGGATGTCTTTTTTTATAGCTCTCCTGTGTTAAAGACTAACCTTTTTTTCTTTTTTTCTGATAGCATTGTTTTTGTTTGATTGTTTTTCTTCACTCAAGACTCTTCTCTACACCTCTGCTAGAAGTTGCCTCTGATTGTAGCTATCTGGCCAGAAGTTCACTCCCGTGCCTGCTTCTGCAGATTCTACACCTAATTTGACTGTGACTTAGCAGCTTCTGAGCCATCGGTTGCAAAGTCTGTCTGAGTCCCTCCGGTCCTTCACTGATGGGCTTGCCATGAGGAGTTGCATTCTACTGCTACAACTCACAAATTAAGGAGACCATTTCAGATTTAATTGATATAATATGCAGTACTAGAGGACAGTGCAGTTTCCAATTTTGGGTCATTTAAAACTTTTTAAGACTTTTCCTTTGCACCCACTTTTCCATCCTGATATGCTGCTTTCTCCCCCAAGTGCTTATTAGCATTGAATCCATTTGGTGAGGAATTTTTGCAAAAGTGGTCTATTCCCACTGTGGATCTGGCAGTGTTCCGCCTTAACAAGGCATGTTCCATCCCAGTGGTTCTCAACCTGTGGGTCGCTACCCAAAATTGGGTCACAAGCCCCTGTTGAGTGGGTCACCACGTGCCTCTGCTGTGCTACATGAGAGGCTCCTAAGCCTTCTCCTAGCACACCAGTGTCAGTTCTCCGACTGCCCACCAGATGTTGCTGCAGCATCCGCAAGGGGGGAGGAGCTGACAGCAGGCGAGTGTTTTTTTTCTACATTTAGCCCTGCTTCAGGCAAGAGGGGGAGCCAGTCAAGTGATTTTGGCGACTCTACTGCAGTCTACTTTACTTGTAATCAGGCTGCTGCTCCATCCCACTCCCCCCCGCCGCCCCCCTCCTCCTTGGTTCGCCCACCTCTGTCAGCCGCCTCCCTCCAAGCCAGCAGCCCCCCTCCCCACTGTGGTTTTTGGGGTTCCCCTCTCTTCTGCGGGACCCGGGACCATGGCAAATTGTTTCAGGATGGAGAGCGGGAAACAGACCCGCCTCCCAGCTTCCTAATTGGTCAGGAGCCCAGGCTGCCTAGCAACAAGTGAAGCTGGCTTCCTAGCCAATCAGGAAGCCGGGAACGGATCATGATGTGCCGCCAGGCTTCCTGATTGGCTAGAAAGCCGGCTCCACTTGCTGCTAGTCAGCCTGGCTTCCTTACCAATCAGAAAGCTGGGCGGCACCTCATAACCCACCACCCAGCTTCCTGAATGGTCAGGAAGCCAGGCAGCCCTGGGAAGTGAAGCCAGTGTTCTTTTGATAGAACATCGGCTACCCAGGCAATTAGGAAGGCAGGTCATGATCCGTCGTCCGGCTTCTTGATAATCGGGGCACACAAAACCGGTATCGGTATTCGATATCAGCGAGTTCCGGAAAAAAAATATCAGTACTCGATAGTGAATAACCGGTATTGGTGCATCCCAACTGATAAGTAGTTGGAAGCCATTTCTACAGCTCTGTTCTAGCTGGTGGGTCCTGCCCTTCACCTAACCCTGGTTGTGACTTTACTTTGTCAAATCACAGCAAGAGAGGAAGATCGGATCCTGTCCTGGACAGAATATTATGTTTCAGCCTTGTCCACCATGTACATTTCAGGTGTAAACAATTGGTAGGCAGACTTCCTCAGCTGGTAGTGCCTGTACCTGGGGGAACAGTTCTTACAACCAGAGGTGTTGCAGGACTTATGATGTAGGTGGGGGATGCCGGATGTGTATCTTCTAGCCTCCATGTTCAGCAACAAACTGGTCAGGTTTGTCGTCAGGTACAGAGATCCTCTAGCAGAAGCAGTGTATGCTCTAGTATTTGGATCACTGTTCTAGGCCTTTTCTCCCCATAATCATTTTTCTTGTCTGCTTTACAGGATTGAGATGGAGGTCATTTTGTGATCCTCATTTCTCCAAGCCCAAGGGGATGCTACTCTGACTTTGTATGACTCCTGCTGGACATTTGATGAGCTCTGCCAAATCATCAGAATCATCTGTCTTACGGATTAACTTACCATTCTGCTTCACGGTCACAGGCTTTAATGGCCTTTCTGTTGAAGCCCAAGTTCTAAGGAAAAGGGGTTACCTGAATCTGTGATTCCTGCTATTTTAAAATCTAGGATGGCTATTTCCCATGATTATTAGACATGGAGACATACTTGGTGTGAGTCTCAGTGCTTCCACCCTAGGAGTTTCTTAGTGAGAAGAATCCTCTCCTTCCTACAACTGGGTTTGGACCAACAATTGGCTCTCAACACTATGAAGGGCCACATTTCTGCCACTTTTATCACGCTTCACAGACTGTTGGCATCTCACTCTTTCATTAAAACATTTGAGCATTGGGGTCTCTCATGTATCTCCCGCCCCCCCTTTCCCTCCGTCCATCTATCCCTTCCCCTGTGATTCCATGGGATCAGAATTGCTTTCTCTCTGAACTTCAGAAACCGCCATTTGAACCCATATACTCTCACCCCCAAGGTGGTATTCCTTGTTGCCATCTTCTCTGCAAGCCAAGGATCTAAATTGGTGGCCTTATTTTGCAAGAAACCTTTTCTGGTTTTGCATAGGGACAAGGTAGGGTTGGGGTTAAGGACCTCATACTTGCCTAAGGTTTCAACATTTCATTTCAACCAGGACATTGTTCTTCTGTCCCTCTGTCTGACTCCAATTCACTCAAAGGAAATGTGCTCCCATTGTCTGGATCTGGTTCAGGCAGTGAAAGTCTTTCTGCTACTGCTTATTTCAGAAAGACTGATTTTTTTTGTCATCCTGGATGGACCCTAGATGCTTATGGTCTCCGTGCTCGGGTTCCGACATTGGGCAAGCATCCCAATACTTTTGGTAATATAGTGAATGTGTAGACATAAAAATCTATCTAAGAAAAAAAGATTGTATGTGCTTATCTGTAGCACTAAATGTCTAGCCGTTTTTCTTATTTCTAGTCCAAGCTATACAATTATAAGGAGATGCTAATGGCTGTCAATGCAATTAGTTTTTTTTTTTTTCTCAGATACAGATATGAAGCTATTGTATTGTTATTGTATGGACGCATGTATTAATTAAACTGCAGGCCAGTTTAATCCATGGTTATCCATATGTGCACTGCATTAGATAAAACTTAGATGAGGACAATTAAAAAGATTTTCTGATTTCAACTTGTGGTGGTTCTAAAAGGGCAGAATGGTTTGCCGGGGCTTGACAACCTGCTACATTAGACCCAGCCACAACAACGTACGCCCATGACGGAAGTATGTCTTTGATACTATTAGCAGTACAGGCTTTTATTTTAGCAAAATACCAGGAGAATTTCTCTTCTGGTTTATTGTTTGACCATGATGGGATGAAGTTACTTATACGTCTTCACGTTTTTTCACAGCTAATGCTCAAAGATAGAAAAGAATCCCCCAAAGTGAATGAAACGGTTTACTTAGTAGTAGGCTTTGAAGCGGAAGACTTGAACCTGACCGCAGTGACAAATGAATTGGGTTTGGCAACCTTCAACCTGGATACCTCTTCATGGGAGGACATGGTATCTATTATGGTAAGATGAACAGACATTTCTGCTCTAAAACAATGAGGTTGATTTACTAAAGGAGCACAATGTTTACCCATCCCAGTGTTCACATGAATCATCTAGTTGTGTGCAACTTTTTTCCCTTCATTTAATTGGGTATTTGTCGTGACCACAAATTTACTGGGCTAAGTGAACATTCTATTCCTTCAGTATACAAACTAGATGAAAATACAATATTTGTTCTGCATGTTGATCCAGATTGATTGGGTGTTTAGGGCTGCGGAAAAGGCTCCTTCAGCTATGATGTATTTGTAAGCATATGCTCAATTTTTCCTTTTTAGTAATATGATATTAATATGATTAAAAAAACTGCAATTCCGATATAAGGATGCATCCGAATTTTGTCCAAATGTCACTTGGAATGAACTGATATGTTGTTAAACGTAAAAAATGTTTAAACAAATACACAAAAAAAACAATGTGGGGTCCCCCAAAATGACTACCAGACCCTTTAGGAAAAAAAAAAAAGCATGGGCCTCCTCCAAAATCCCTTACCAGACCCTGACCCTTTATCTGAGCAACAGTTTGGCAGAGCAGGAAAGGGGGGAGACAATTGTGCAGCCCCCTTTCATGCACCATGCCAGGCCACTTGCCCTTAACAAGGGCCTGTTCCGCACATCCCTGGCCTGGTGGTTCTGGGGGTCTGCGAGCAGAGGGGCTTATCTGAATCTGGGTGCCTCTGTAATGAAGGGGGCACCCAGACGCGTCCCCCCATTAATGAGTAAGTGGTAGTTGTTACCCCTACTCATTCACCAAATAAACATTAAGATAGCAAATAGGCACACCACAAAGTTTTGTTAAGTTCTTTATTAATTAAAAAAAAAAAGTCCCATGATGTGAATCCATCTTCAATTATGTTGTCCAGCGATAATTTAGATTCCCCTAAATTACGATGGCCGCCAACCGGATGAAAGAAAAAATCTGTTTGCCTTTTTGTCCGCACTCGCCAAACACTGGCCGCTAATGACAACTCTGCTCCTTATGGTAAACATATTATTAATAAAGGACTTGTCAAAACTGTGTGTTGTGTTTATTTACTACGAAAATGCCGGAGTCAGAGCAATAATTCAGTTAACTCTAAACAAATGACCTGTAAAGGCTTTTAAAGCATCGTTTTAGGACAATTTTGGGTACCAACATTTTTGCTGATTCACTGGTAAGCACAATTTTAAGACTTGACATGTATCTATTTACGCGATGCAAGATCATTTTTTAAATTGTACCCAAAATTTGGGTAATATACAGTATTGTGTTTGGGTACACTAAAAATATTAATTTAAATGCATTTTTTACTGAACATTTGGGTTTATTAAACCCTAATATCGTGTGACAATAAAAATTGCAACTAACATCAATTTAATCTCCAGGGTCTCTGCTTTCAGAAAATATTTAATTTTGGGGGGTTTTAACTAATCTTCAGGCTTAAAATGTGTTTTAACATGGGTGCAAAAAAACATCTCTGGCAGAAAAACAGTTAAAGCCCTACTCCACCCAAAATATGAACCCCCTCACTACTACCCTCCTCTAACCCATACTGCAAGAATTTTGTTTTTATACCAGGTGAAGCTAGTTATACTCACCTAAGTCTGCTCTCTGGGTCACATTCCCGGGTGCGAGGGAACTGCTAACCTGGCGGTACAGATGCATCTGAGACCGCTGGTCCCTACTCTCCCTTAGCCTTGATGTCACTCCTGATCAGAATCCTGGGATCATTTTATGCTGGAGAAGGGCTTTAAAGGTGGAGTTTCAGTGCTTTTTACAGACAAATAAGTAGTGAATATCTGTTCTCTTATCTTAAGGGAAAGATTTCCTTGGAAGAGGATGAGGAAAAAGAAAAGACTCAGGCCAGTAATGCATATGCCTGGCTTCATCCTTTCTATTCGGAGAGTAATAGCTTCCTGAAAGTGTTGGCTGTTGAAGGACTCTCTATGTGTGACACCCAGCAATTGGTGACTGTGGAATATGTCATCAATAAAAAGAAGCTGGATCCTAATTCTGACCATCAGTCCTTCTTCTACATTGTGAGTATTTTTGATATATTTAGTCAAAACATTTTATAAGTAATTGTTGCCAGGTTACAACATGGACATCATTTTTTTTATATATTCTTTATTTATAATCCCGAAAAGGCAAGAAATACAACTGAAATATAAATGAAAGGAACAGTATACAAAATCAGAATGACGCCAGTTTGTTGATACAGCCTGACCGGCACAGTAGATTAAAATCACAATACAATCTATCCCAGTGTCAGTTAATTACTTCCTTATAGCACAGACACAGAACATCAGCCAAATAGGACAGTAAAGACACACAGATAATGTAGGTATGCAGAAAGAAGAGCAGGCCAAGGAACACACCGCCAAGGGCCAGACGGCCCGACAAGAAAAACATATAGTCAGAAAAAGGAGAGAGGGTACAGAACAGAAGAGTGCAGGTTGGGAAGAGCAGCCACCCCCATCCCCTCAAGCATTAGGTCACTGAGAGGTTGAATCATATTCCTGGAAAAGGGTATTCATGCCAATAAAACCAAGTACGATTAAGCTTTCATTCCCGATTGTACAAAGAGGCAGTGAGATTCTCCATCCGCTCTATCTCCGCAATCCTTGAGTACCACGTTGATAAAGTTGGTGTAGCAGTCTGTTTCTAAAGAGCCGGAATGCACAACTTCCCCGCATTAAGCAAGTGAAGTAAAAGGGAATTCTTATAGCGCCTCCTAGAGAGGCCGGAGACATGTAGGAGACATGCAGACGGGTTGTCATGAACATCAATCCCTGTAAGCTGTTTGGTAAGATTCCCCACCTCTGTCCACAAGTGTCGAATCTTCTGGCATTTGGACATTATTTTTGTTACACACTACGGCCTTCCTTATGCTTGAAAACTGTAATCCGGGCAAATTTCAATACAACGATGAAACAAATATATCTGTACTTCCTACCAAAGGATTGATATTTCTCTCCATCCATTCCTGAGTTTAACAAAGCCCTGCCAGACAGCACAGCCAGGCAGATGTCACCACTTCCTCTGTTACTGTTTTAAAGCAATACAGTGGTGTCTTTTCTCTACTCCCAGCCTGCTGTCAGGACATTCAAATTTTTAGCATGCAGAATGCATTATTAAATCCGGCCTCTCCCCCTCCCAATCTGAATGCTGCTGTACAAGGGATTGAAGGTGACTGATAACAAATCAGATTCAGGTACTTGTAGTGGTTGCAGTATAAAATGAATTTAATAATTGAATTATGAATACAGAGCTGGTCTAATGTGTGTCTTATATCTGCCTGGGGTTTATCTTTAAAGCTTTTGGTGCATAAAGACAATTCACAAATTTCTCAGTAGTGTTTTTTTTTTTCTGAAATGTACAGTTTGCAAACTAAAAAGCTTTGATTTTCTGATCCTGTAGTTGATGTCAAAAGGAATTGTGTCTGTTGGAGAATATAAGCTGGATATTACAGAACAGCCAGCTGCCTCTGGTGAGTTTGTGTATACAATATGTACTCTGCAACCAGCCTTACCCCATTCCAGGGCAATATGCTGGAGGCTGCCTCTCTCCTTCTTTCTTGGGGCTGGTAGCAATGGCGGTTGTTATAAATCAGACCTGTAGATGTTAAAGTAGCACTGTAGGTATGCTTCTGGCAGCACAGGGAGGTTGGAGCAGCAGCAGTCCTATTATTGCAGATTTTTTTTATTTCATGTGCACATGGGCACTGGACTGAGAGACACCAGATAATCATCTGGCAGACTGAGGATGGATTGAGCCTATGACAACTGCAGCAGGTAACCAGTTCTCTTGAGATCAGGCAAGAACTCCTCGTCCTAGTTCCTGGTTGTTATCCCACAGACCTAATATTGTTCAGTGTTCCCTCTCCTCCTGTACCATTCTCTGTAATATAATTTAAGCCTTTTGTGCAATGGCCACAGCAGTTATGCAGACCTGGAAATGTGAATCCAGCAATCTTGCTGCTAGGATTTTACCAGAAAATAACCATAACAGTTATTTCTACAGTATCTACCAAACAGTCAAATATTTCACCATTGTATATCAGGTACGATACTGATATTTCACTTTTTCACTGGAGAGTTAGGCCACTTGATGAATTGTTACATCTTTTGTGGACTCTATTCATGATATATCTGCGCTTGGTTTTTACTGGGTCTGCATAGCTGCTGTATCCATTATGAGAGGCTCTGCCTCTCCCTGTTGAATTTATTTTATATTATTCGAAATGCAACAAAACATGCTAGAAGGCAGAAAAGGGGACAGGAATCCCCAAATTTCCAGATGTACAGGAATATATTTGGTAAATTATGACACAGAGATCTCACTTTTGGAGTATCCAAAACATATAAGAAGTCAGAGATTGACTCAGCCCACCAGGTACTACAAAAAAACACTTTCAGGTAGACTGAACCTGGAACTGCAAGAGAAACATGTAAAAGTGAATTGTTTTAATTCCTGCAGATCTACATGGAACATTTCACTTGAAATTCAGTAAAGCGATTGAATTGTTTCCAAAAGCCACCATTCTTGTTTTCACTGTTCTGCTAAATGGAGATATTGCAGCAGGAAGAACAAAGTTTGAAGTGCCAATGTGTCCAAACAATAAGGTGAGAAAACTGACATGTTTATATTCCATAATCCATTTATAAACAAGAAGTGCTGTGCAAACTGTTGGCGCAATGTAAATCCTGAATAGTATTTGTAATAAAAATCAAGATGGTTGTTTCCCTTAAACCTTCAAGCAGCTGGATCTTTTTTTATTAGATATTGTATTGTTTTATCTATCTTCAGAAAAAACTTTGAAAATGTGACCTTATGTCCGTTGTAGATTGAGGCGGGGAGCAGTGGGTGAGCAAGTGGATTTCTGACCATGGAAAGGTGTTCTTGTTTTAAAAGTGTTATGTGGTACTTTTAAATGTTTTTACCGTATAAATTAAATGTTTTTTTTATAAATTAACCCCCATAAAATATACAGTACCTGTTTAAAGAACAAGTCTACTTTAGACATTTCTTATTGCACCCCTCAAGCCAAACTGCACTACTCCCAACCCACCCCACCCCAGCTGCTTACTTAACTCTGTAGTGTTAGTGCAACCTCTTCTGGTGTTTATAGCTCACCCGACAAAATGCTCCAAATTGACTAGAATGATGCACACACATCATTCTAGTCAATTGAGGGTGAGGTCTCAGATCACCTGGCTGAAAACTTTGGGAAGTGCTATTTTGTAGTGGTAATTGACTAGAATTATGTCACATACTGAGGATCTCTAGACTAGATATCTGGCCTCATTCGAGGCACGATCACTGCTCAAGCACGTTTCATGCGATCGTCTGTGAGTTAGAAAAAGGTTAGCTAAAAGTAAAATGTAAAAAAAATACTTATGATTTTCCATGCAGGAACATCCCTAATGTTTGTATTAATTGACAAATCTTGCTTGTGTGTTGCATTACAGGTTCAGCTCAAATATTCTAAAGATGAGGTCCATCCAGGAGAGATGGTTAGCCTGGAAGTAAAAGCAGAGTCTGGATCATTTTGCTCTGTGCGCTCTGTGGATAAAGGAGTATTGCTTCACAAGCAACATGAGAAGTTTAATCTACCCACCATGATGGTAGGTTGTTATAATAATACTAAGAACTGTAATACCTTGTTATATTTGTAATGATTTATAGAACCTTGACTTATTTAGCAGGAGAATATGGAAAGCTCTGAAGCTGTCCCTGAACATGTGCTTTGCTAACTCAGGACAAATCATAAGTTTTCCTTTAAAGTAGGGATACACCAATACTGATACTATTATCAGTATCGGTGAAAATGCCGAGTATTTGGGTGAGTACTCGTATTCACCCAAATGCTCCGATACCTAGCCTCGTGACTAGGGAGCATGGAGCCAGATTCCCGGACAACCAGGAACCCGGGTGCTGCGTCATTACACGGCGCACAGCTTCCTGATTAGCCAGAAAGCCAGCTCCATGCTTTCTCGTCACCTAGTAATGAGAAGCATGGAGACGGCTTCCCTGCTAATCGGGAAGCCAAGTGGTGAGTCTTTACACGGACCAGCCTTCTCTCCCCATGTGCATTAATGAGCCTTGACCGTTTATGAACCTGTTGCCGGTTTACTGGTTTTCCTTGTTCTGTAATCTGTAAAAGCATTTTTGTGTATAACTGCTTAGTGAGAAGCATGAGCATTTGGAATAATGCTTTTAATATTTTTTTACTTTACTAATTCAACCAGCTTTTTTTAAATAACTGTAATAAAGTTTGATGACACTAGAGACTAGATAATATTGTGTGCAAGTTTCTTTCATTTTTTTTTTATTTTTATTTTTTTAATGGGAAGCTGTGGCTTTATTTTTCATATAAAAAACAGTACTGTCTGTGAAGCACTGTTTTCTAGCCATGTCTTTATATTTTGTTGTGTCTCCTCTACTAAGATCATGTATACATTTCATAACCTTGAAGTTAACAGACGTGGCCTTCCGTATAAAATTGAGGATTTTGAAAAATATCCTTGCTTAAGAAATGAGAACGATCCAAGTCCAGAGATCCATGAAGGTGTTTGGTACTATAGTCATCCGGATGTTTACAGACTTCTCAAGGTAAACTGAGAAAAAAACAAAGTCTAAGGGTTCTACATCTGAAAAAAACATTTTTAAACAAAATACCACATATAAACAAACAACTCATACTAGTATTAATACATAAGAAACAAAAAAATGGAATATAACAATATGTTAAAGTGATACTAATTGTATGAGGGAGTTTGAAGTGGTGGCTACTTTACAACACATGAAGGGACCATGAAGAACCAAAGTAGCCCGTCTCCAGAAGGAAGGACAGGATCAGCACAAATTCAGAGATGATTTGAGGATCTACAGCCGAGTATTACACAAATAAGCTGCATTTTTGTCAATAGGTAAGGTACTTGAATGCATTTTTAAGATTTATCTCCTGAGTTTATTGAAACTTTAACAATAGTATAATAAGTATAGGATATAATACTGAGCATTGTTGATTGGGAGACTCTTTAAAACACTTAAGCTTTCAATAGCCTTAAGGAGAAGCTTAACACTCTGCAAACTTTTAAATGTAGCTCTTCAATGTGCAGCTGTGGGTCAACAAGGGCACAATATCAAATGGCACAGGTTTTCAAACCTACCTAATCAGTTGTCCCACCCTTTGAAATAAGAACAGCTGGGAAGATAGCCAAAGACGGGATCGATCTTATCAAAATGCTTGACTGTTATCTCTTGTCTGTGAGGCCCCTTTCACATGAATTGTCTGATAGGGTCTGCCTGTCAGTTTTTCAGGTCTGATATACTGATAAAAGAAAACCAGCACACAAAAATAGTAAAATCCTTAACAAATTATTGTGTATAACCACATGGCCAATAGCAGGGGACAGTGTCTGGGACACATTGTTTTAAACAGCAAGCATGTTCAAAGTGGTGGAGAATAAGTGGAGAGGGTGAATAATATATTTAATTACACTGTTGTCTACAGAGTGCAAACCATTTTTTTTTTAAACAAAGGTAGGTAGACTCATATACATCCTATTTAGCCTTTAAAACCAAACACAATGAAGATGGGCATGTGGATGGTATAGACATATAAGGGGACATCACACTCGCACGCTCCCTTTCCATCGGGTTACCATTCTTCATGCATGGTACACTGAGCTAGTTGCATCCAGAGGGTGGTCTCAACATTTTATGCCTTCATTTTTTAGAAATAATTGTGCAAACAGTAAACATTCAAATCAAATACCAAAATTATTTTTTACAACTTTAATTGTATGGATACCAGAATGGAACAGTAACATCATGTTAATCTCTTTTGCTTTTACCATTCTTCCACAGGAGAGTAATCTGAAGGTCTTTACAAACACCAAGATCCGAAAGCCGGTGCTGTGCTCCCTTCCCAACTATACAAAGCGCATTTCCCCTAAAAAGGAAAATACCCTGGAGAAGAATGCTTCAGTTCGTATGTAACACTTGACACAAGAATGCTTATGTTTTGAAAATTATTAGTTTTGGAAATTTTTAAGTTAGCCTATAAGTGGACTCCAGTGGGTGAACCTAATACAGGCTGGAGACTGACAAGGCAAATCTGCACAGGTCAAAATATAGACTAGAAAGGGCCACTTTGTACAATAAGTGGTTTGCTCTCTTTTTCGTGCCTATTATTGCTACAATCAAAGGAGAGTCTCTCTCTCTCTCACCAATCAAAAAAAAATTGATCAGTTTTGAGTGGATTTAATATCAGTATCAGATTAATATATCACGTGTCTTTACCTCTATCATGTTTACCATTGTTTGTTTCCAAAAGCAATTTTATTCTCATGTTACTAACTGTGGTGTCTTTATCTCCATTCCATGTTTCTTCTTCGTGCTAAATGATATGTGTTTATGTGTATATATATACACACACATCCCTGGATTCTATATCTCCCCAAAAAATCAGGAAAGAAGAATGAGGTCAAGAAGGCTATAATAAGAAGATTATTTCCAGAAACGTGGTTGTTCGATTTGGTGTCTGTGGGGTAAGGATGGCCAATGAAAACTGATGCAATGCATTGGACCTCTGAAGATGTTTGAGACAGGACAGTGCTCATTGTATATCGGGTGCGTCCGCTGGCGAGCAGCACTGAGGGAACCCACTGGCAGGAAGCAGCCGGCAGGGTCTGAAGGCTAGGTAACAAGGGGGCAATCCAGAGATTGCCCCCAATGTAGTCGAGGGTAATCCGAGGTCGAGGAAGGCAGCAGAGGATCAGAAACGATAGGCAGTCCAGGGTCGGTACACGGGAGGTCAGCAGAGGTTTCAGGAAACAGGCAACAAGGCACATAGGAGGGGAGCTTCGTATGTCACACCATGAGGTGGAATAACTCAGCAATAAGCCAGAGCTCAGGCCAGGTTTTTATAGCCAGGGGAGTTAGGACCACCCCCGGTCACCGAGGCAACCAGGAGGCTTCCTTCCTCGGGAACCAATGGCAGGCGAGAGAGATGGAAGGTGTGTACAGGGAACCTCCCCAGCAAGGCCCACACCTGATGCCTAATGGAGCAGGAGTGCTACACACTTGCCCCCGGGGATTACCTCCAACGAGAACATATTTAATTTTAACAACCTTGTTTCATAGCTCAGATCCTCGAACCCCTTAATTAGTTTGGTTGCCCTCTTCTGGACTTTTTCCAGCTCAAGGACATCTTTTCTTAGTATTGGTGACCAAAACTGGACCGCATACTCCAGATGTGGCCGAACCAGGGATCTATAAAGAGGCAAAATTATAGACTTGTCCCTGCAATACATTCCCTTCTTAATGCAAGATAGGACTCTGCTTGCCTTGTTTACAGCAGCCTGGCACTGCAAGCTGTTCTTCATTCTGCGGTCTATAATGACCCCCAAATCCTTCTCCATTTCAGACTTCCCTAGTTGCATACCCATGAGTGTATAGTCCATTTGCCTATTTTTAACTCCAAGGTGCATTACCTTACACTTATCAACATTGAACCTCATCTGCCATACAGTTGCCCACTCCCCAATCTTAACCAGGTCCTCCTGTAATGTTAAAATGTCTAAATCTGTGTCTACTGCCCTCCCAATTTTCGTATCATCAGCAAACACTGAGATATGACTTCTCACTCCCTCCCCTATATCATTAATAAATAGGTTAAAAAGCATGGGACCCAGCACCGAACCTTGGGGTACGCCACTCACGACCTCCGCCCAGTCTGAGAAAGTGCCATTAACTGATACCCTTTGTACACGTTCTCGTAGCCAGTTTTCTATCCACGTGCACACTAATTCATCAATGCCCATACCCCTTAGCTTGTATAACAAGCGTTTATGTGGCACAGTATCAAACGCTTTGGCAAAGTCCAGGTACACTACGTCCATTCCCCCCCCCCCCATCCAGCTCTCTACTTACCTCTTCGTAAAAGGTCAGCAGGTTGGTCTGGCAAGAACGATCCTTACACTTATCAACATTGAACCTCATTGATATTCAAAATATATTGGCATGCCACTAAGAGGGCAATGATTCAGGAAACTTAGCGGCCCCTCAAGTGAACCTACCCTCCTTTAAAATTGTAAAAGCTTTTGTATTTATTAGCCAGAAAATCCTCATCTGATTTGGTTAATGTTGTTACTGGCTGACTTTCTCTAATGTCAGGGTTTGGCTCCACTAGTAACCATCCATTTGACCAGCAAGAGTGCCTTTGTCTCATTGAACAGTAGAAATACAGTTGGCAGGGCTTATTTATGCAGTCAAACAAAGTCAGGGCCTAGTATCAAAGTAAATAATAATCAGAGAATGATATACAAGGGGCTTTTCTGTTTACCAAATGTAATAGCTGTTGTGTACCTATAATAGCTACTGTTGTGTATGTAAAGCTGAACCTGTGTTTGCTTTGAATAGAATGTATAAGGGTTAGAACCACTGTCTGCTTATTACTGCCAATGTCCGCACTGGGGAGATTCACTCTAACTATTTGTTCTGGTGATGATTTTCTAATGTATAAAAAAGTGATGGGAAATACAACATTTTGATTTGTTACAGGAGCAAGAGGTAAGCAGAAATCTTCCAATGGCTAAACCTGTTCTAGTGCCCCCTCACTTTAGAGAGATCTCGCCTTCCTTCCTGCTCTGTCTCTGGGTCAGAAATTAAAGGATAATCTCCCTGATGGAACACAGACAAAAAAAAATGATGGATGATCTTAACTATTCCTGTCTCTATCCAAAGCTACAAAATATTTTTGCTTTTTTTATGCATTCCATCTCTGTTGAGTCTTATATTTATCTGTATCTTCACTGGGTAGAGACTCTCGCTTCATGTCCCAGAGGCACAGCAGGAAGTAAGAATACATTTCCCCAAAGGGAGCAGAAAGTCCAACTTAGACTGGGTCATGGGAACAGGTATCCCAGCTAGTAGATGTTCCACTCTCTTCCGTGAACACATGGGAGAGAATCACCCAAACTGTCCAACAGGCAGAAATTAAAACCAGAGCTTCCTAGCTCTACCAAATGCTATAAGAATTGTTTTGGCTGGAGTTCCATTTTAAAATTATGCCATTGATACATCATGTAGCAATACAGTATACAAACAAAGGGCAATATTGTTCTAAATGTGTTACACAATTTTGTCAAGGTAGCACCATAAAGAGTAAAATACGCATTCAATGCATCATCTTTAAAGATCTGTTTCTACACTATATTGTCACATGCCATTTAAAAGGCAATGACATTAGGCCAGTGGTTTGTAGCATTGTGACTAGTGTGTTTTTATTGGCTCTGACACTTTCTTGTTCTTTACAGCCCCTATGGAAGCACAGTGCTAAATCTGACCACACCAGATAGTATCACAAAGTTTGACACAGATGCCTTTTGCTTGGGAAAGTCTGGTTTTGGGGAGATAAGTAATGTTATGCTCACCGCATTCAAGCCCTATTTTATTGAGCTGATCATGCCTTACTCTGTGGTACAAGGAGAAAAATTCACTATCACGGCAATGGTATATAACTACTTAAAGGAATGTATGATGGTACGTAAAACCATGGTTATGTTGTACGGGGCTTCCTTAGCAAAGGGAATAGCAATGAGAGAATGCATTTTTCTTTTAACATTCAGCTACACCTGTCTGTCAGATTTGATATTTTTACTGCTTTTCCTTACTTTATCAGCTTTGCACATTTGACCCTTTCTCATTTCTTTGTGCTTTAAACTAGACATGTTCGCAAGCAAAATATTCCTTTTTGTTTCCTTTCGGATTTTTCGTTGTTTTGTTTTTCGGGTTTTGAGTCTGAAAGTCAATTTGTTTCGTTATTCGGATTCAGACGAATCCCAATTGTTCATTAATTTCGGATGCGTTAGATAATTGCAATCAAATTTTCATTGCAGGAAGGTGACGTTAGAAAAAAAAGTGAAATTTTTCTTTTTAACTTTTGAAAGTCCACAGAAACAATAAAAAAAGATTTGTTTTTTTTTTATTTTTAAATTCATACCAGAACCTTTATATCTGGAAGGAATTTTAGGGGGGACCCCAGTGCCAAAAAAGCACACAGAAAATGTGGGGTCTCCTATAAAATCCTTTACTAGACCCCTGATCCGAGTAGCAGCCGACAAAGCAGGAAAGGGGTGCCAAGCGTGCGCCCCCCTCTCCTGCACCATATAAGGCCACATGCCCTCAACATAGGGAGAGTGCTATACCAAGGAACCTGGAAAAGCACCTTGTCCCCATGTCGATGAGGACAAGGGCCTCTTCCCCAAAACCCTGGCCCAGTGGTTGTTGGGGTCTGTGGGCAGGGGGGCTTATCTGAATCTGGGTGCCCCCTTTTATAAATAGGGCACCCAGGTGCTGCCCCTCCCCCCCGGTGAATGAGTAAGGCGTGTTTGTTACCCCTACTCATTCACCAAATATGAAACTTGAAAAAGACCAATATGTTCCCACTACAACAAAGGTGCAGTGACGTGACTCACTCAATACCAGAAAAACTAAATATTTCTTATGAAAATATAAAATAATGTATTCGGTCAAGCACCATAAATACCCATGTGCCTATATGGACTCACATATAGCTAGCTCCAACCCTATAAAATCCCCACACATAAAAGAAGAACACCCTGGCCATGGATGAATCCCTAATATGAACTAAAATAATAGATAAGTAACCACTTATCACCATCCTAATGGATCAATAACATGCATAAACATGATAGGCAGCCAGTCCTAGTTAGGAATGTCAAGTTGAAGAGAATCCACAAAATTGATGTAAACCAATATATATCCGAGAAGATAATCCTGTTGTTGAAATCAGAACAGTTGTCATAAATCCTTTGGGTCTGGTTTGTATGAAGTGATAATTCCCCAAAAAATAGAATAGAAGCACTGTGCGCCCTGAGGTGCTTGTTAATACAAGCACCCTGTTACACGGTATCCACGTGGCTGACATTTGTATCTGAAGATTCTGTACGGACTATATGTAAGATGGAGTCACCACATCCACATGGCTAAACATGTAAATTGTTGTATTTGATATAGTTGTAAACTACATCAAATTTGTAAAACAAGTATTATTATTATTATTATTATTATCATTATTATTATTATTATCATTTGGCTTTATGTATTTTTCTTGTTTCTTTTTTTGTGATTATTTGAATTTATAACAATTGTAAAGCTGACCAATTTATTCCCTCTGTGGGTTCCCCAGTTGGTTTTTCATTCACCAAATAAACAGTAAAATTGTAAATAAATACACTACACTGTATACAAAGTCCTTTACTCCACACTGTTTTTCGTTTAATTATTATTTTAACCTTTAACAACAAAAGTGAATTCTGAAAGACATTTGGAAAAAATTTCGGATGCATCTGAATCTCATTATTGGGAAATTCGGATACATTCAGATTGATTATTTCTTCCAAATGAATGAAAGAAATAATGAATTCGTACGACATCATACACATTTCAATTCAGAACGAAACAAATCGCACATGTCTACTTTAAACCAAATTGTTAATGTCTGAACTCTGCTTGTTGTCTTAAAGGAACTTTACCAGGGTTGTCCAACTTACAGCCTGTTGGATCTTCCTTTGCAGCCTGGGAGCTTTATTTTATTTTTTTATATTAATATCGCTAGCAGTCAATAGGGAAATTCCAAAACTGTTTTCATTTGAAACATAGTTTGGGTTAGCAATACTGTTGTTGCCACCAAATGATCAGCTATTTTCTTCCACATTCACCAACTCCATAAACTACTCTGCATGTCATGCAAGTCCATGAAAACAGACACACTCCATTGTTCAAGCATCCCTTACAATTTTATTAGTCCAGGTACCTTTAGGACTTACAAGCTTCAGCATTTATGATTTAAATTTGGCGCTCGAGCTGTGAAGACAGTTGTGACTCCTGGACGCTTTTAGGTTGTATAATACTCAACTAGAGAAATGGCTCTGGTATCTCAATGCCCTCCTAATGTTTCCAAGCACATTTTTCATTGTGTACAAGTATACAATAACACATGTAAATAATGATTTACAGAATTTCACTGTCTAACCTAAGAAATGAAAATACCATATACAGTATTAGCTGGACTTATTAATCATCTTAACACTTACAATTTACCGGCAGTGGTCACTTATCCCACTTCTCCCACTTCTCTTCCAGTATTGCAGTTTTGTGGACCTGCGTGGCCTGCCGAGTAATTTCTTTAATTTCCCTAGCTCTGACTGGAAGGTACAATAGAGCTTTGTCTGTATGTGGATAGGAGGGGAATGCACTTAGAATGCCTCTCATGTTATTCTTTACAGAATAACTTTATAGGTATTGCTGCAGTTATGCCCCATCTTAGTTCCTAAAAAAAACAAATTATAATTTTCATGTTTTTCTTCTTTAAAGGTGCTATTTTTTAGAGCCCGATTCTTGTTTCTAAGCTGGTTGCTGCCACTGATTAACTCCCAGAGGTGGTGCTAATACCAGAGAAGAATACTCCTGCAGCATCACACATTATAGAGGGTCGGAATACATGTGAATCATCAAACACACTTGAGCAGGAGTTATACCAAGTGTTTGCAGCAGTGGTGCTGATTGCAGGGCAGAATATTTCTGCAACCTCAAATGCACATTTGAGCAGGAGTTAGGAAAAGACCACTTCTTCCTGAGCCTTGTTTTGCCTGGTAATGGCTGTTTTGGCAGGTTTTCTTTACATGAAATTTAACATCTATACTGATCTACTACTTTACCCCATGTGTGGGCTTACTTAAGTCAAATGCGATGACCAGTGATAACTTGAAAATTACAAAGCCTACTGCAAGCAGCTAAGTAACATTTTCCATTTTCTGTAGCGCAGGTCAAACGATGAAGAACGCTGAATTTTATGAATTTGTACGGTATATATAAGGTTTTCCTCTGCTCTTTTTTCCCCCCTGTCATGGGGTACAGGTGTTCACCTCACTGTCTTATCTGAGGGATCACTCCACACTCGACAGCAAGGATCAGAAACAGTGTATCGGTGCAGAAGAATCAACCAGCTTCACCTGGAATGTGACCGCCTCTAATCTAGGTAAGCTGGGCTTCATGTCTGTTAGGAAAAAAAGTTTGAATTCTTCTTGATACAATATTGCCAAAATTGGGAGGGAGTGATAAACTGTAATGTTGACTAGGAGGGGGAGTGACAAACTGTAGCTTTGACTAAGGGAGAGAGTGATAAAGTGGAATTGTATTTATTCCTAGAGAAAATTATGAACATTGGTTCTAATTTACGTAAATTTAAAGGGTTTGACCTTAGTTGTACCTTAATAATACATTACTTATAGTGGAGTCTCCAATAGTATTTGCCCATGAAACAGTAGCCTAAAAATGTTGGCAAATGAAATGTGATATAGATATATATATACATGTGAGATTATGCTTCTAGCATACTAATGGGAATGCCCCCTATTCCATATGTGCAAGTGTGGTATTGTACCTGTCCGTGTTTGTGCAGTCTTCAGGACTAGAACCAAGTCTAAGATTACGCAAAAACAGAATAAAACTACAAAGGAAAAGAGCCTGTCTATTCTCTCCCTCTTTATATGATGGAATTAAAAGAGTGAATTATATTCTAGGGTACTTTTCATTATATTTTGCATTTTTTAATACAGAAACCCTATACCGAAATATATCTGCCATTACCGTCCTCCTTCTAAAAATGCTAATTGCACAGTGGCCATGATGAACCTTTGGTCACTGATCTGGAACAGGAATGCATACCAGGCTTTCTGACTTTTACATGATTTCAGTTCACTAGCGTTTTCAGAAGGTAGCCTTCATGTTACATATTTGCTTTTAAATTCTAATTTTTATTTTTTTATTTTTTCTATGTTAAGGCAGCTTAAAGGTCCATGTAAGCAGTGCTTCAATTCAACTTAAAGGGGGGTGCTCAGATCCACCCCCCAACCTGGGTAAAGACCACCAAGAAGATAGTACTGAAAAAACAATAATTGTAAAGGTATTTGACAATGTGTCCCCCTAATTACATAAAAAAATGTTTAATCTGTTTGCCCTGTTTCTTTAGCTTTGTGTTCCCCAGGCCTTTCACAACTCTAGCAATGCCACTAATTAAACTAAGTGGGTCACCAGAACAGGAAGGCAACTGGCCATTTTAGAAGGGAGACTAAGCCATGACCACCATGTTTCTCTCCTAACAGGTCTCTTTTAAAGTCAGACAGACCCACTTGGCCAGTTCTGCCACAAACATCGCTTCCAAGCATGGTACACTGATTTTTATTAGAAAGCCAAGCATGAGTTGCAAACAAAGTATTATTGATGCACTCTGTATTAGATGTTTATTTGTAAACTATCGATGATGTGAAAATTACCCCAAAAAATGTATAAATCAGTTTATTAAATAATAAAGGTTATAAATGACTATAAGACCATTATGCTTGGCATTTCAAGAGGTTTTCTTCTTTACTTATAAACGTATCCAACAACCCTCAACCAATATACAATTAATCTGTTAGATTATTTAAGTGGGCAATTAACTTTCAATGTGACTTTTATAGTGATTGAGCAACATCTGCTATTAGATAAATAGTGACATGGGGCTGATATAGGCAGTGTATCCAGGGACGGATCCAAGAAGGCAGATAACGATCTTGATGGCTATGTAGTAAATCTTATTTATTCCTATAAATGTTTTTGTAAAGCTGTAAATTACATAGTGGTAATCCTGAAATTCTCTGCATTTTCTTCAGCCTCCTGGACTTCTAGAGGAAAAGACACAGACATCCCTCCTCTGTCCATCAGGTATGGAACTGTTATGGAGTAAAACCAACATTTATTGGCTTACTTAAAGCCCAACTGCCACCACTTTTGTTTAGGATAGAATGGTCAGAACCTCTGTTGATTGAGGTCTGGAGAATTTGGAGGCCATGTCAACACCTTAAACTTGTTGAGTTCTTCAAACCATTTTTGAACCATTTTGGCAGTGTGGCAGGACGCATTATCCTGCTGGAAGAGGCCACTGCCATCAGGGAATATTACTTCCATGAAGGGGTGTACTTGGTCAGCAACAATGTTTAGGTAGCTGGTATGTGTCAAAGTAACATCCCCATGAATGGCAGTGTCCAAGGGTTCCCAGCAGAACATTGCCCAAATTACCACATTGTCTTCGCCTGCTTGCCTCCTTCCCATAGTGCATCCTGGTGCTACCTTTTCCCCAGGTAAGCAACACACACACCCAATCATCCACATGATCTAAGAGAAAACGTAAATCATCAGACCAGGCCACCTTCTTCCATTGATCTGTGGTCCAGTTCTGATGCTCAACTGTGATGCACTGTGTGTTCAGACACATTTCTATCAGTATCAGAACCAGCGTTAACATTTTCAGCAATCTGAGGTACAGTAGCTCTTCTATTAGATTGGACTACACGGGCCAACCAGTACTCCCCACATGCATCAATGAGCTTTGGGCACCCATGACCCTGGTTCACCAATTTTCCTTCCTTGGACCACTTTGGGTAGGTCCTAACCACTGCACCGGGACACATACCACAAGAGCTGCTGTTTTGGAGTTGCTCTGACCCAGTTGTCTGGCCATCTTAATTTGGCCCTTTTCAGAGTCGCTCAAATCCTTACACTTGCCCATTTTTTCTATTTCCATCACATCAACTTCAGGGATAAAATGTTCACTTGCTGCCTAATATACCCTTCCCACTTTCAGGTGCCATTGTAATGAGATAATCAATGTTATTCACTTTACCTTTCAGTGATTATAATGTTACGGCTGATTGGTGTATGTCCTTTTTGGGTAGATTTTCCCTCACTTCCTGAAATCTCTCCAGCACATGCACAAACACATTTTTAGTACAGTGAGGAAAGGTCCTATTTTTAATCACACTATTATTTCTTGTACAGGCATCACAGGAACAAAAAGTGAGGCACAACCTCTCCAATGGGATAAATGACAAAAATAAAAATGAACAGACGTTTTACCTGTCTTCCACTCTATCCTAAATGAAAGAAACATATTTTAGCTGGAGCTAGGCTTTACTATTGTAGCAATTAGCAGTGTTGCCTACCATCAAATTCAACTATTTAAAAATCAGCTTTAAAACTAGTATACTGCATCTAAGCTGAAAGCCGTCTTTTGTTTGGTTGCTATAAGATAGAGCACTAGGTGCATATGAGTACCTAAAATAAACCACGCGACCCTAAACAACTTACATTTGTATTTGTTTCTTTCTTGTATCCTTACAGGTGACAGTGTCCACACAGAGGTGTCATTAAATCTTCCAGACAGAGTTGTACCGGGGTCAGATCAGGCTCTTTTAACTGTATTAGGTGAGGAAAATCTGCCAGGACAAATTAAAAGGAAAGCAATAACAATATACACAATTATCTCAAAAATGTTCAAGCATTTAAATGCAAAAAGCTCAATTTACAAAGTTATAATGCATGTGCCATTTTCCATAGGTTCCAGGGATCGTAATATGCAATTATTTGAATGTTATTTTAATCTCATTGTTTAAAAAAAAAAGTTGTTTTGACCAGTAATCATCATTCAAGTTTAGCAGATTTACTGCAATTTATCAGTGGAAAAGTGAGTAAGGATATTGAGTGATGAGGAGTACTAGTGCAGGGGTGATCCTTTTAAGTCTGAGGCAGGGCTAAGTCAGAATGAAGTGGCCAATAGTATATCTGTACCAAAGTTTTCAGTAACAATTGCAAGAAAGAATACAGAGGAGGTTAGCAAGAAAACGTCAGCATCCACGATGAATATGTTTCTAGATTTCATAACATTTTATACAAAACAGAAGGAAAGTATTGCCATAGGAAGTGACCACTTAACACTCCACAGCTAGCACGGCACAATATGCAAAAATACTACAATGCTTTTTTAAGAATTAATATTTTGTTTTGCATAGCTTGTTGTGTGTATTGAGGGGTAGTAAGAGGCAGTTTTCTAGCTTATTTCTTTGTTTGTTTACTATAATATAATTTGTAGTCATTGCCCCAGTACTGCCCACATAGCTATATTTGTGGAAGGTGTGATTGATTTTGGTTAGTCCATTAGCACTGAATATAATGTGTGAAAGCATTACAGGGTTCTTAACAGACCATAGCACGAGCAGGGGAACATAAGACCTGATATGTGCCAGGTACACTTAGCATATTGTTCTGTTTTAGAGGAAAATACTCTAAGCATAACTCCAGGACTGGTAACAGATTATCACATTTGCCTTTAAAGAATACTAAGAATAAGCCAGCACATTCTTTGCAGGTTTCATGCTAGACTTGTGCCCATGTTGTTTATTTTACAGTTATTCCATCCCATGCCTACAGGCTCCACTCATTCACAAATCCACGTTTGACAGGGGCTTCTAAACCAACAGCATGTGAGATGGAAAACAACTTCCCTGCCACCATAGGGTTGTGCCTATGTTGGCAGTGTATTGATTGGCTTTTTGGACTGAGCTGTAATGGGTTACTGGATTACTACCATACTTACAGCTGTTTGTATTCTTCTTGACTAGTGTTGCCCAGCCTCTAAAACCATCTGCTTTTGATGGGCCAAGGTTGCACCATACCATTACTGGGAAAAGTCAAGCGGTTTCCAGTATTGGATAGCATTCATAGCAATGGTTCTGGTTAGTGTGGATCAATGCACACAAGTTAATTTTGAGGGAACTTTAGCCTTCACAAGCTAAACATGTAAAAGTCTAGGATCTTGATTCAGTTATTAGCTGCCATGACATAACTGTGTCTAAAAACCTGCCTCATCTCTTATATGGACCCCCAATAAATTGTTAACATCTCTGGATATCACTTGATGCAGGTTTGTACGATCCACAGTCTTTGTATACCATGTTGTTGTTTTTTTTACTATGCTGCGTTCTTACATGAAGTCTATTCTTGATAGGAGATTTGATGGGCAGTGCCATCGCTAACCTGGGACAGGCCATCTCCCATCCAGAAGGGAGTGGGGAGCGCAATCTAGTGACATTTTTACCAAATGTCCAAATAGTAAAATATCTAGAAGCTACTAATCAACTGACACCTAAGATCAAATCTGAGGCTCTCACATACATGACTAAAGGTAAGTTACCATGAAAGCATTCAAATGTTAAATATATATACACATACCGGCCTGTTTCTGTATCTGCAGTAAATTGCTCCTAAATTGTGCTCATTATTCTGTGAACTTTGCTGAGAAAAGAGTGCAGGCATTTTACTACTACAGAACCCTATAGGGAACTCACCTTACCTGTGGCAGGTTTGGAGGCTAAAACAGAGCTTGAGGTTTAGTTATATATTAAAGCTATTAAAGCTTGGCTGATGTAAGTCCAAATAAAACTTCCTTTTTGTGTCATATTTCTGTAATCTGAACACCCATGCTACACTGTCTTCTAAGGCACCACTGCATAGATGCAATGCTTTCAGTATCTATTATTGATGAACTATGGATGAACTTATAGTATTTAGATTTATCTTTTCTGTTTTACATATGGCAATGAAAACATAAAAAAGGGAGAATCTGCTTTAAGTCTTCAACTGTATCAATTATGATCTTTTTATAGGTTATCAGAGACAGCTGATGTTTAAAAGCGAGAACGGCTCTTACAGTGTGTTCCATGGCTACAAGCCCAGTGCATGGTGCGTATGAACGTCTGTTAAATTGGCTTTGTCACCATAGGGTTACTTTTATCCAATAGGTCACCTGTATATGCTTATCTTTCTGACAGTCTGTGTATTAAAAAGCTGCTACCTTCCAGCTGCTACAAGTATTCTGTCATTGGATGTGCCAGCAGGAAAGACCACAGTGGTTGACGGGAAAGTGAGTTTTCTAAACATCCAGAAGTGTAGAATACTTGGGTAGTAGGGACGCGGTTTCAATACCAAGGACTCTGGAAAGTTTAGTATATTCAGGCTTCTTTTACTGGTGGGCTATTCGTTAAATGAGACCCTGTGGTGACAGGGTCACTTTAAAGTGGCACTAAACACAGGAGTTAAACCTTAAAAATGCATTTAACTGCCTTAACTATTAAAAAATATGTATCTTATTTGTGTATCACTCAGCTGTAGATCCTCAAATAATCTCTGAATTGGTGCTGACACTGTCCTTCCTTCTGGAGGGGGGCTACTTTTGTTCCCCATGGTCCCTATGTGTGTTGTAAAGAAGCCACCGCTCCAAGCTCACTCCAGTGATGAACTAATCTCAGGTTTAGTTTACTAATTTGTACTGAGATTGTAGTATATCACAGAAGCAAACTTGGAGCGATGACTTCTTTACAACACACACAGGGACCATGAGGAACAAAAGTAGCCCCCCTCCAGAAGGAAGGACAATGTCAGCATGAATTGAGCGATGATTTGAGGATCTATAGCCGAGTGATACACAAATAAAATAAATTTTTGTTAATAGTTAAGGTACTGGAATGAATTTTAAAAAATTTAACTCCTGAGTTTAATGTCACTTTAAGAATCAGTGAAGTTTTAACCTGCGTGTGGTATTGGAGATAGACGCTCCACGATTAAGGTACATTGCATGTTAATGCAAGGTGCTCTTTAAAATACCTACTGGTAAAATCTGGCATGGCAATGCCACCATTAAACAAACTTTTTTGGAGAGCCATTGTACCGGACTGGACATGTCTTGCTTTGAGTAGTTGGGCTAGGATGTTCATATTGTGTACAAGAGGGTAATAATGACCCCCTCATGAGCCCAAATTAACTCACAGAAATTGCTATTTAGTCAGATAAAGTTTGAACGAACAACCTTCATTTTCTTAGCTACACTTATTACAGCAGCTGCACAGTTTTTGAATATGGTTGTGCTATAGACTGAGCTCTGCTGGCATAGAACCCTGGAATGGATGAGCAGGAAGCAGAGTTTTTTGTTCTTTTTTCTAAGGAGATAATGTTATTTTAAAGCTGAGCTCCAGGTAAAGCAAATATTGTCTGAATACAAGAGGCATGTTCTTCTTTAAATCTGCTTTTTGTATTTCTTTCAGATCTGTGCAGTAATGCAGTGTGAAACTTTACCTCTGTACAGGAGTTTCCCATAATAAAGACCAGTCCCTGTTGCTCTCTCTTCTTGTGCAGGGTCACTGGTCATGTATACGCCCACTCCTGTAGTTTTCTCAAGACAGCCTTTAATAGGTGGAGCTTGCTGGGTCCCTCCCACAGCTCTGCAGTCTACTGTATGTACAGCACAGTGGTAGGTCACTTCTACTTATATAAGGTAAAAACTAGGCTTAAAGGGAGATTTGGTGTTCATACAGTGGATTTATGTCATTTGTAGGTAATGGATAATATATGTAAATGGAAGAACTCATAGCATACAGGGCTACATTATTGTAAAGATAGGAAGGTGTGAGACTTCAATTAGGTTTCAGTTTTTCAGGACAAGCTTTCAAGAGATCCACTCTCTTCTTCCGATCCAAGCATACGAATAGATAGAGGTTTTGGTTTGCTTGGACCAGAAGAAGAGAGTAGGTCGCTGGAACGCTTGTCTGAAAAAGCAAATTGGTAATGCAATAACGTAAAGTATTGCATACAGTTCACAACTGCTTTGTACTCACACAAGAACATCACCAGAAAAAATGTCTAAGTCCCTTTGGAAATGGGGTACTGATTCCAGGAAAGGTACTTATGGAGCACTTAGTAAGTATGGTTGTCTAGTACTCTACTTTTGCCACTCGTATGTATCAGCCCTAAAAGCACTGTGTGTTCTCTAACATGGTATCCCACCATCACATCTTGCAGGCTCACTGCCTTCACATTGAGGTCATTTGTTCATGCTCAAGAGCTCATATACATCCAGGAGAAGCATATAGAGGATGCTGTAAGGTGGCTGGGCCAGCTGCAACAGGCCAATGGCTGCTTTGAAACAGTCGGATCCATTTTTCAAGATTACTTAAGGGTAAGCACATGCACACACTTCTTTTATAAGCTAGGCACTGATAAATTGCACTGTAACAAACATTTTGGTTGATAAAAAACTGTGCAAGATTCACCAGAATAATCTATAGTCTTTAGAGAAATCCTGTCATGCAGCTATATAGTCCACTTCTGCCGATAGGCCACTTCTGCCAAACTTTCTCTGAAATGCTAGTTGCCCAGCTGTAGTACTTTCAATGTACTTTCAATTGAATTTCGATGGAAATTCATTGGCTGCATAGTAATAGTGGTTAACGTACTGGCTTATGGCACCAGTAGTTATGTTCTTAGCCTGACACAACCAGGCCATTGGGTGAAAGATCTATCCAATTATGTCTTCAGTACGGTAGTAGGGTACTGTATCCTGGCCCACTAAATCCAAAATGAGGAAACAGGTTTTGGATTGAGTTGCTTACACTTCCTTTGTCTGCTTTTCTCTCTGTCTGTGTTTCTCTTCAGAAGGAAGATACTTTCTATATTAAGGCATCACCCAGCATTTTCCTCCTAGACTAAGCTGTTTGTCCAGAAATGTCCTGAGCTGAATGGCTCAGTTCATACATTACAGTTTGAGTTGGGATGTTCTGGGCTACAAACTGCAACGTCTTTTTCTATGGTTTCTACTGACCCCTTTCCACCCAGTCCAGTCATAAACAGAAGGCTGCTCAAAAACACACTGCTTTTCTGTATCAAATGCAATTGTTACAGCAGTACTAATGAGTGATCACTAGGAGAGAGGAAACAGGGGAAATGTGTCTTCCTGCCTGGAGCAAATTGATGACATTAGACCCATTAGATACTCCTCATAAGCCTAGGAATAAATGCTTTCTTAAAGTGCAAAGACTGTTTCAGATTATAAAAAGTATAATTTTTGAAAGATTGTTTGGCTTATTGTGACAGAAATTTCTTTGTAGATATACTAACAAATCAGATTTAAAGCAGAAGTAAAGTGGCTTTTGAAAAAAAGCACTATGTAGGTGCTTGCCATAATGAGTGCAGGGGCGTCCCGAGGCCGGGTGTCACCCAGTATCAGCTCTGTGTCGTCATTGCGCATGCACCTAATGTTTTTGCGCATGCATGGCCATCTTATTGATACCTGCCGGCAGCCATCTTGGTGAAGGACGCCGGCAGATTTAGGATGGGACGTTCACCCGGCGGGATAAGGTATACCTCCGGGTCCCCTCTTCTCTACTGAAACTGTCGGGCTCTCGCTCCATGAGCGAGTGCCCATCTTTTCAGAGGGGGTAACACCAAAATTACTGTCAGTCATTTTGGTGCCACCTCTCCAATGGTGTCACCTGGGTGTGGGCCACACCCCCCTTGCGATGTCACTGCTAGTATGCACAGTATATGATTACATTATGGCTGTCTTACCTTGGATACGATCCCATCCAATGCTGTGCTGTCCGTTCTTCCCCTCGTCAATGGCACTGCTATCTTCTTTTGGGTTCAACGTCTTCGGCCACTTGATTGACTGGGCTTGCATGTTGTAACTCCTGTGCAGTGCACAGAGAAACAAATTGTGGACAGGCAGGTAGATTTTTGGCAGAAGACGCTTACACAACCTCTTCTGCTATTTAACAAAATCCTGCTTGTCGCTATTTTTTTAGAGACACTTTACTTCATTTTAAAGCTCCCATGAACATGTCATAGCAAAAATTAGGTTCTTTGAAACTCGGCTCCAGAGGTCCCCCTTCCCTTTGATTACAAATAAAAGGAAAAAGTATTCTGCCGTGGAATTTTATCTGTATACCGCAAAAGGTGTATGAGAGTTGATTAGTGGATCCCAATTAATTTTGTATCATATCACTGAAGGAGAGCGCAGGCATGCAAAACACTTAAAGTTTCTTCAGCTTCTCCCTTATGGGGTTTGCCTCCTAGTCAAGGAATAGCTCCCGCTAACCGTAAGGAGATCCCAGATTATAGGTAATAGCAAGTATGGTCAGTGGGAATGACCACAAAGGGGAATATGTATGTGCTCTCTATCACATACCCACATACATGTACAGTCCAACATTCTTTCATGGAACTCTCTGCTCTGCACCCAGGTTCTGCTGAACTGCAACTTCCTTTTCTTTCTTTTCCTTAAAAGTACATAAAACAATAAACTAGAACAGTCTATAACAAAACGCTGGGTGTCTGTGCATGCCTGTTCTCTCATTGCAGTATTATTATACAGACTTAATCAATTCTCATACACTTCATGCGGTGTAAAGAAATGTATTTCTCAACACTCCTCTGACCCTGGTCACTGCCCCATTTTAGGGTTGAATGATGCCCAGCAACATTTAACCTCTTTCTGTAAGTCCTGGTTGTCATGGGTTAGTGTTGTCATGCAGCCTAGACTCACAGTGTAATTTCACTGGCAATCACAGGTGACAACAATAAGGTGTGTATATACTTATTCAAATATAAGTGTGGGTAGGGTACAGAGAATCTGGAACTGGGCTTCATCAATGTGGTCATCACACAAGGAATGCTAAAGGTACCACTCTGGCTGGGGTAAGTAGGCCGTGGAGGTAATTTTTTATGAACTTTGCATAAATTATTGCATTATTAGTTTCTACCTTTTAGTGTTCTCATTATGTTTTCTTTGTCTTTTCAGGAAGGGGGTGAGGATGAGGTGACACTTACAGCGTACATAACAATAGCTCTTCTGGAATATGGGAAAGTGTTCAACGTGAGTTCTGTTATTGTGGAGAATCATCTCTGTTGGTGAACGTCACATTTCTACTCAGTGACTATAGCAGAATGACTAAGCTTACATGACTGCTTGTATTCCAACTCAGAAGCATGCAGGAAAAGGGTGACAACACTGCAGACGAATTGAGTAAGCGTTATCACCCTGAGAAATGCGTGTGGATAAACCTTGCTGGTAGGCTCTCTAAGAATGATTTAATTGAAAAGAAGAAAAAAAATGGTTAAAATTCGTTAACATTACAGGAACCGGTGCAACAACTTGTGTTGCCTGCTTGCCTGTGTGCTAGTCCTATAATCAGGTTTGTGACACACAAGGCCAGATTGGACAAGGCTTATTCGCACACATGCGCACAAGGTAACTGGCAGCAGCGGTGAAGGCTGTTGGTCAGTCTGTCCATGTACAAAGCTGATGAGCAAGGCTCTTGTAGTTTTCATTCCTAGCACCATTCACATTTGCTGATAAGCTCTTACCACTGCTGTTGGCTCATTCGCAATGTTATCTCATATTACAGATCTAAAACTGACAGGGAACATGCACACAAGTGACTTGGGGAGAGGGGAGTGGTGGAAGCTGGGGCACACACAGATATGGTTCCCACACTGCCAGAAGTCAGTCAGATCCCTTCAATGCAAAACTTGCATATCTCAGTACATTTAGTTTAAAAAAAATGTGTTGTGGAAGAAGATATCATTATCAACTACTGCAAGGGTTTAATCTACAAGTTAGTTCTGGTGATAAGGTCTCTTTAAGTGTTTGACATTGTAGACAATTATTATGTGTGAAGCATAACTCCAGCCAAAACCTTTCTTTTTAGTAGTGGATAGAGTTTTTAGAGTCAGGTTTATATCTTTTTATATCCTGTCTTGGTGTTTTAGGGGGTCACTGGGATAGGAAGTGATGGGAAATCTCTGCAATAGGGAACCAGAAACAGTAACAAATTTGAGATGTATTTTTTATTTGCGCTCAGATGCTATGAGTTACTGCATTGTGTGTATTACTGAATAAACCTGTATATCTGCTGTACATCATATTGGATGCAGTAAAATGATGTCCCATGAGCGTTGTGGAAGTCTGCATTACATTGTGCATTGGCCCCTACTGTACAGTGTGTTTGGGTGCTATTGACAATGAATGGCACAATGCCACTCATAAAGCCATGCAATGGTGGTTGTTGAGTAGCACGGGTCAAAATGTGTGACTTAACGTGCGTTACTGTAGCCCATAACTGTAAATGGGCCCTCATACTGTGATCTTTTTACAGGGCACAATGGTAGATAGAGCATTGAAATGTTTGAAGGATTCAGTGGACACGGTAAACTGTACATACACCCAGGCTCTGATGGCCTATGCCTTTACCTTATCTGGAGATGGGGACCTGAGGAAACAGATGCTGGAGAGCCTAGAAGAAAGTGCTGAAAAAACAGGTAAAAGAATTATTTCATGAGTGAGCAAAGTTGTATTTGTAATCATTTTAAAGAGTCCATCCTAAAGTCATATCCCAGTTATAGGGGTGGCCTAGTGAGCCATGACATATGATGTACTCATTTATTACTTGGGGGACCTCTACAGCAAAATCTCCCTTTGTAGCTTGTGGCCCTGTTTCTGGCTAACTTAAAGTGTGTTTCCACCTTTGCAGCCAAATTGGGATAACACCTATTTTGCATTTATTACATATTCACATGGCATAAGCTAAAAAAAAAAATTTTTAAATGCATCTTGTAGTTTAAATTGCTTTTACTTGGGTTAGGGTTTTAAATGGTAAATTTCTTCTTGTTTCTATGTCTTTTAAATGTTAGGAGGGTCTGTGAGAGGTGAGAGGTATTGCCCATTGTATGTTAGTGAAGCTTATTAGATAAACACAATCTTCAAATAAGGACAGACCAATGTGAAAGCGTTAACAAAAAAAAATGGAAATAGCCATCTTGCCTGATTTAACAAAACATCTAAAAGTTAAGAATTTTTTATTAAGTTATTTTTCAGTATGCTGTGTGAATAGGAACACATAAACATATAGAGAGGTTTTCTCAAATTTGACTGCAAAAGTGGACATACACTTTAAGCTGTTTCCGTAGCAGTTATGTTCTACTAAGAAACACATACTTTGCAGCCCATGAAGTCCAGCACTGTCTTCCATGCAGCTGATTTATTAGTCATTATTTAGCCTCCTAAGCTTAGCTCCAGTAGAATGGTAGCTACTATGTCTCTGACACCATCTTGAACAATCCTGACTATACAAAAAACAACAAATATGTAGTATATATTGATTACCTTTATACTTGTTTACCAAATATCGATTTCATTTGAATTATAGTTCCCTAAACCGCCTAGTAGTTTGACTTATTTGAAGCCATGCTGTCATAAGAGTGATACAAAGAGGGGCCATTGTTAATCTTCTTTTAAAAACAATATATGCCTGACTGTTATGCTGATCGAAAGTGACTTGAAACAAGTATGCAGATCAGGAAAATCAAGTAGAAGTCCCTATTGGCATACTTGCTCCAGGTTAGAGACTTAAAGTAGTGAAACAAGATCATTAGTATGACTGGCCAGCAACTAGCAATGTCATCTCACATGTTTCTTCGATAAAACAACACGTATGATTACAATATGACAATTTGGGCACTGTTTTTTATTTTTGGTACAGGTGAAATCCCTCCTGAAATGTGGCCTACTTAGATGACTTTATGATCTGTATTTGTATAGCTTCCTGTTTTATTTCTCTTGTTAAGTGTTGTTAAGTGTTTGGTGTGTTTGCTTATTCTCAGGTGGGACCAAACACTGGGGAACTAGCACCCAGGGTCATGGAGGTGTGGAAATATCTGCATATGTTGTGCTGGCTATATTATCCAAGGAGGCCACTTCCCATAAAGATATTGAGGAGGCATCAAGCATTGTCAGCTGGATGGTGAAAACGCAGAGACCCCAGGGTGGATTCTACGCAACTCAGGTTATACGTTTTACTACTGTAACAGCGGTCATGTACAAGTAATGGTAATCACCATTTTTACAATGTTTTTTTTAATGTGTAGCACATGTATCCAAACAGCAGAGACGACCACTGTTTCTTGAAAAAAAAAGCCCTGTGCTTCCAACTAAACCAAATGATCAGAATATTGCCCAGGGGGTTGCATATTGTGTACATTGTACTCACCAGCAAAATCTTGATATCCCTTGTCTGCAAGGCTGCAATGGGATCAACATCCAACAACCATATTCAGGCTTAGAAGGGCATTATTTTCAATGTGAAGCTGAGATCAAGAGACATGACTTAAAACTAGGAGGAAAGTTCAAAACTAACTTTAGAAAGTATTTTTTACCGAAAGAGTAGTGAATGCTTAGAAAAGACGTACGTCAAAAGGAAGTGAATTTAAACATTATGGGACAAATCTAGATGTATACATAGACAAAATGGTCAAATAAACAAACAAAACAAAATAAAGTAAAAGACTGGAGGGACCACTCGGTCATTTTCTGGAAAATGTTTAGTACTGCTGCTGGGGGTCTGCTCCCTGCTCATGAGACATAGGTGATGATGCTGTTTCACTGTCCAAGGAGGAGACAGGAGGTGGAGAGGTGACCTAAAATTCTGAATCGCTGAACCAAGAAGGGAAATTGCTTACCTGGTTTTTACATGTGTATTACAAGCTTGGCTGTACAAAGTTACAATTTCTTTGGTAGGCAAAACAGTAGACTTATATGCAATTCAAATGTGTGGTTTGCCTGGAGTGTTAAGTTAGCACTGGGTATTTTATAGTCTTTCATTAGGAACTAGTATTTAAAACTCATCTTGGTCATTTGATTCAATATTTTATTTCAGTGTTGCATAATTTAAATGCACCTGTAACTATACTGATTTTAATTAAAATAATTGTATTTTTAGTAATCATCAAGTTACCCATACCAGGAATCAAATTGTTGCATGACACAGTACTGTGTAGGTGGAGTACCTTGATGATTACTTCAACTAAGCCTAAGTAATTTCCAGACTTAATATATGCTGACAATCTTTAACAGGATACAGTGGTTGGACTTCAAGCTTTTACCAAATATGCAAAGGCCACCTACAGGGACGAGCCAGATGTCACTGTGTTTATTAGGTCCTTGTCTGGATTCCAGAGGCAATTTCATGTGGACAAAACAAACAGCCTGCTTTTACAGAAGGAACCTTTACCAGATACTTCAGGGGTGTATACAGTTACTGCCACAGGAAATGGATGCGTCCTTGTTCAAGTGAGTAGTGTACCTGACTACTTAGAACATTCAACCTAAAGTATGTAAAGGTACTGATCCCTGTACTGAAAATGAAATATAGTACAATTATTTAATGTTGCTGTTTTAGGCTAAATTAGGGCTTTACAGTCCGCTAAATATAAATTACAAGTTGAACTGAGTACATTTAAATTTTGAAGGAGGGGGGAAACGTAGGCTAGAACCCTACTAGATTTCCTGTGTATCATGGAACAAGTACAGCAACAGTTCCCTAGGGCACACAATAGAGATCATCAGTATCTTGGAACCGATATCTGTATTGTAATGCCATATTGTATACCATTTGAATTAATGTATCTATTCCTTCTGAAGGGTGGCTACTTGTGTTCCCCATGGTTCCTGCATGTGTTGTAAAGTAGCCACTGCTCCAAACTCGCTCCTGTGATGGACTACAATCTCATGTTTAGTTTACTCATTTGTATTGAGATTGTAGTCCATCACGGGAGCAAGCTTGGAGTGCTGGCTACTTTAAAAAACACAGACAGGGCCCATGGGGAACAAAAGAAGCCATCCTCCATAAGGAAGGACGGTGTCAGTACCAATTCAGAGATTATTTGAGGATCTACAGCAGAGTAATACACAGATAAGTTACATTTTTGTTAATAGTGAAGTTACTTGAATGCATTTATAAGATTTAACTCTTGAGTTTACTGTCACAAAGAAGGTGTAGCTGAAAGATACATTTTCACTGGGACAACTGCATTCTCAGCCTCCTCCTGCACAGATGTTCCAACTTGTGGAACAAAAATCTAAGCACCAGCCAACTTAAAGAATCTTCACTGGAAACAGTTAACTCTGCAGTTAACCATTCCCACACACAGAAAGTAGCTGCCCCCATGTGTTTTAACGGAAACACACACCATTCACAGTATTTGCTGTAGCAATTCTGACCTTTAAGAAATATCTACAACACCCCAGACAGGAATGAAACAGTTTAAATTATGGTAACTTTCTTTAAGGCTGCACGAATTCTTTAATTTCTGATTTAAAGCATTGAGAGATAAAGCCTAATGATTTTTAAATACAATTTTAATGAAAAGGAGAAAAACGGTGCAAGAAATACTTACAGAAAAAAAATACAAAATAGACAAAAGCAACAGTAAAATAAAGCAGTTAGAAGTGAAAAGTATTTGCCAAGTTCTGGTTCCTGCATTTTGGTTCCTGTACAAAGGCATTGACTCTCATGAATGACTTTAAGCATTTGATGGAGGTGAGAGCTGCAAGCTGCTAAATGCAGAAACATTTTGTGGACCATCTAGAGGGTGTCACTGAGCCACTCAAGAGAGCTGAGGGGTGTGATGTGGAGTGCTGAAGCGTTTATATGATTGCAGTGGACACTCCCTCAATGCCGTTGTAATGCTGTATTCATATTTCTAGATGACAATGTGTTACAATCTGATAACTAACATTTCTTTTGAATAGAATTAAATCACGAGATAATAGATAGCAAACATGACATATTGATCTTATAACAATTCTCCTTAGGAGATGTAATGTATTTCATCTGCCTTCTGGACATTATAGCATGATTGGTATTGAACTGATTGTTACCTTCTCATTAATTAGAGTCCTCAATTTTTATGAGTTTAACTCATTTATAGAATTATGGAAATTGTATGAAACTTAATTCTGGCCAGCTCATCTGTATATCAGTATAGATCACTAACCCCAATTAGAATACATTTCTTAGGCATGAGCTACATCACTAATGCCAGGAAGTGGAAAACAGTAATTGTAAGTAAAAGAGAAAAATTTTTGTTTAACTAATGAATGTAAGATAATTTGATATCAGCATGTAGAGCTGCACACTGAAATACACTAGGTAGCGTAGTCTTGTTTCTAACAACTTGGCAGTCCTTGCCACAAGGCATAGCATATAAAGCCCTATAATGATAAAGAAATCAACAGTGATCTACAAAATTTTGGCCTTTATATTGGCTTTTATTTGAGTAAAAATGTTATACTGATTTATTTTTTGTTTGGATTTAAAATTCCATCATCATCCTAATGAGATGCTTTGTTCATCTCTATCTAGACACATTTGAACTACAACATACAACCAGAAAAGTCTGATACTCACTTTTCCCTCACAATCAGCACCCAGCCAGCAGTGTGCACAAAAGAAGTGCTGAAAAAACTTGACATTAACATGGAAGTCAGGTAAGGCTGGTTCTGAAGAGGTTTCCTGGACAGGGGTTGGAGTTTTCTATTTCAAATAGCTTTAGGGCTAGTTCACACCTGTGCATCACGTTAATCACAAAGTAATGTGCGATTAAGACATGCTATCGTACAACGTACCTACCACATGTTACAGTGCAGCAGGTGCGTTGCATTGCCATTCATTTGAATGGCATCCCAATGCACCTTCTGACCTCAATGCACTCCACTGTGGTGCAATGCATGGTACCACAATACTGTGCATTTCACCACGATGCGGTACAAGAAAGTAGTGCATGCACTACTTTTTCCAGTGCATCACAACGTATTGCAGTACTGTGTCTGGAGGTATGTTACCAAGAAGCTTGGTGGGTTGCATGATAGCGGAACAGGTAGGAAAAAAGATTGTAGGCCAGCCCAGGAAAACCTAGCAAGCCTTTGTATTTTTCTAGTGTCCTAGCAGGATGGATGCTTTTACTTCAGCTCTGCTGAGAAATATCTAAAACATTTTCCTAGATATTTTTTTATTGTTTTTTCAAAGCTATTTTCATCAGTTAAGTTTCCTTGCTACATCGTTGCTTAAGCTTATCTCTATATGGAAACTATCCAGATTGGCCTTTCCTCAGCCTAGCTTTGGAGTATACTCGGACCCCGCTCAACTACTTGTTGCAGGGCCAGCCTGGAAGTGAGTGAGTTCCAAGTTAGGTGCCTTGCAGACCTTCTTGTAGTAACAAGTTAGCATTGCTGCAGCACTTGCCCTGTCTCTGAAGACTCACTCTCTGGGTTGACCGATTGGGCTGAGCTACCTTCTAATTTGCACCACTGAGTGACTTTTACATTTTTACTGTGGGAGGGGTTAACGCTGAGGGATTGAGTGAAGATGTCATCTGCTGTGTGGAGTGCTATATGCGCCCCTCCATGCTCTTTCCTCTGGAGAGCATCAAGGAAGCATTGTCCTGCTGCAGATCCTGCTTTGCAAGGGAAACCGTGGGCCCAGGCATATGCCCTGTAAGGGGTCTATATACCTGCAAGATCCGACTGTTTGCAGAGACATACTATGTGGATCATTACTTTTTAAATTAAAGAGGAGGGCAGCCGGTGCCCAAGGCTGAATAGGGATCCGACGCTGGGGTGTGGAGGGGGCCTTTGCCAGCATCGGGCCCCTATTCAGCCTTGGGCATCAGCTGCTGTCCTCTTTAATGTAAAAAGTAAAGATCCACAAAGTGTCTCTGCCATTGGTCATGCATCTGATCATCCTATATTAACATCATGTTCATACAATATGATCAGATGCATGACCAATGGCGGAGACACTGTGGGGATCTTTACTTTTTAATTTAAAGACCACCCAGAGCCCGCACTGACCACCCAGGGCCTGCACTGACCACCGCACTGACCACCCAAAGCCCGCACTGACCACCCTGAGCCCCTACTGACCACCCAGATCCCGTACTGACCACCCAGATCCCGTACTGACCACCCAGAGCCCGCACTGACCACTCGGAGCCTGCACTGACCACTCGGAGCCTGCACTGACCACCTGAGAGCCCACACTGGCCCTCTGAGAGTCCGCACTGACCACCGCACTGACCACCCAAAGCCCGCACTGACCACCCAGAGCCCCTACTGATCACCCAGAGCCCGCACTGACCACCCAGAGCCTGCACTGGCCACTCGGAGCCTGCACTGACCACCTTAGAGCCCGCACTGGCCACCTTAGAGCCCGCACTGGCCTCCTTAGAGCCCACACTGGCCACCTTAGAGCCTGAACAGCCTCCTGAGAGTCTACACAGCCCCCCTGAAACCCCACACAGCCTGCCAGAGACCCTGGAGACATCAGGCCGTGAACCCAGAGCTACACAGAGTATGTAGCTGCATAGTTTTCTGCATTGCTGTATAAAGTATTGCTGGGATTTGTAGTACTATCTAGCTGGTGCTATTCTGCATTGCTTTTAATGTATTGCTAGGATTTGTAGTCCTCTATAGTTGGTGGTATTCTGCATTGCTGTGTAATGCATTACTGGGATTTGCAGTTCTCTATAGTTGGTGGTATTCTGCATTGCTGTGTAATGTATTGCTGGGATTTGTAGTACTCTATAGTTGGCGCTATTCTACATCGCTGTATAATGTATTGCTGAGATTTGTAGTCCTCTATAGTTGGTGGTATTGTGCATTGCTATATAATGTATTGCTGAGATTTGTAGTCTCTCTACAAATTTGAGTCAGTGACAGATCTACCAGGCTTGCAGCTGCAGCCAGGCCCTGGCACTCCACCACTGACTCCAAGCTGTAGAGAGACTACAAATCACAGCCCGGACAGGAGGAAGAGGGCCCTGGTGACCGTCGACATTTCCATAAAAAGGCCCACCAAAATCCTCAGCACCAGGCCCGTGATGCTTTTAATCCGGCCCTGGGGCCCAGGCCTAAAGCTGTGTAAGGAGCCCCAAAATTTCTGATGGCGGCCCTGTTGTTTTCTGAATATTTTTGTCTTATGCATCAAGTTAATTCACCGTGCCCTCTTTCTAGTCATGTTGGCAGATTCACCATTCTGGTAGGGGATTCATCCTCATCGGGTGTTAGATTCACAAGAAGTCCCAAGTTTGGTTTTGCTGGGTTGTTTTGCTGTTTGCCCACCACTTATGTGGACTGCTTTTGGATGGCCTGATAGGGTATGACCACCTGTGTCCCTCACTGAATGGGAGAGAAATTCAAACTTTAGTACTAACAGTAAAAGCATTTTCTTCGATTGGATTGAAGGACACAGGCCCCTCAGTTCTGTGTTTATGTTCATGCTCTTGGTACTGCTACAAACTAAGGCACCCTGGTTAGATGAGGGGTAACCCTGGGCTGGCCTACAAAACCCAACAGTATATGAATTCTTCTGTCCCTCAATGGACTCCAATAAAATGATTTTATAGTGAGTACAAAAATCCTATTATGCACTGCCTCTCTGCAATATATTCACATGTTTTTTTAGATTGAAGAAATATATGTGACTTTGGCTTTTTGTTTTGTTACATATATAGTTATTCCGGAGAACATTCCGCTGCCAATATTGTTATAATTGAAGTGGACATGCTCTCAGGATTTCTTCCAGATAAAAAGAGCTTGAAAAAGGTAATACCCAACCGTTACAGCCACACTTTTCTTTTCTTCCCATCCAAATGAAAATAATCAAATAGTGTTATAATACAATATATTAGACATGTAACTCCGCAAAAAAAATTGTATCGATTTGTATCAGTTCGGATTTTTATTTCTTCTGGATTTTGGATCTGAAATTTGATTTGTTTTGTTATTCGGATCCGTCTGAATTTTCATTTCAAAACAAAGTCACATGACCTTGCCTGTAATGCAACCCCCAACAACAACAAAAAAAAATCTGATTAGCCAGAGAACAGTTACATGTATGATTTAGTTTCATTTTGAAGGAAATTATGATGGATCATTTCGTTAATGGAACATTCGGATTTGTTCACATTCGGAGTCATTCAAATACGGAAATTCAAATGCAACCGAATGTCCGAATTTAACAAAATTCATACAAATATCCATTCGGAACTTATCAAAATTTACACGTCTACTATTAATACAAAATGCTGAAATGACTTGGAAGATACACAAAGTATGAGTTGGCATATCGCCATGTCTTAACTGATAGATCTCATATGTTGTTCAGCTGTCTGGTATACATAGCATAATTTGCTGTTTGTGTGCCCCTGTGTGACCCCCACTAAGACTTAGCTACACTCTACACATCTAAACAATGCAGACTAAGGGGCATATTTATAAAGCAGTAAATGTGACTTTCACCAAAACTGTACTGGTGGTGAATGAATCACTGCCATTTAAAACACATTCACCTGGAAGATTCAGATGCAGTAAATGTTTGTTGAATGTCAGACTCACTGCTTTTTTAAATATGCCCCTTAAGTCTCCAATTGTATTGAGGGCTGACATGATGCTTCTGTAACGATTTTCCCACTCCCTGAGGTCATAGAATGGGAGTCATAGCTGGCAAATGTAGTGTCACCTTTAGCAGTACCTGTGTCTTCAGGACAACCAGGCATGGACCGTAGCACAACAGGTGAATAGCCAATAGCCATATCCAGAGGCAGGTGGTGGTCATGGCTGACAGAAGAAAAGTGCAAATCGGAGACAGTCAGAGGTCATGGCAGGCAGCAGCCATAAGAATAATCCAGGGATGAGCTGAGGTCAAGGCCAGTAGAAGACCAAGACCAAAGAGTAATCCAGAGACAAGCCAGGGCCAGTCAGGGCCAGTAGCAGACGAGAGTAGTCCAAGGACAGGCTAAGGTCAGGGTCAGGATCACATAAGAGAGAAACAGCTCTAGAGCCAGTGTAGACAAAACTATGACAAGAAGGGAGGGTCATGGAACACATTTTGTTAGAAGCTCGCAGTCTCTCCGTTTCGTCTCTGATCTGTGCATCACCACCTGCCCTAATGCACAGTCTGTAAATGTGTACTCAATACCATATTACTGTTTCCTATGATAGGAAACACAATATGGATATCTACAGTATATTGTGTTATTTTCACTCTGCTTTTGTTCTTTTAATGTTATTGTAGTTAAAGAAGAAAAAATCTGTGGTTGAAAGAACTGAAGCTACAGGAGATAAAGTAACCATCTACCTCTATAAGGTAATGTACTATATTACATGATGGGACAAGGTCAGGGCAGTCACAATGAAAACCACAATTTTCTTAGGTAGATGCAATGCAAAATTGATCCAACTAAGTAATCCACGTAAATCACGGTGTCCAGCGTTGTCAACAGCGAAGCCGACTTGCAGACAAAAAAAAGCCAGACGCCCGCCAACCTGTCCACACCCGCGTAACACGCTGCAAAAAGACCTGTAGGTTCTGACAAAAAGTAAACAAGTGGGTGAAGCTAGTGTTGACATCACCGCTTGCTCCACCCATTTATTTTGGTTTGGCTAGCACCTGTCATATGGGTTGGCCAAATCACAACAACTGGGCAGAGCCAGCCATGATGTCACAGCTGGCTCCGCCCAGTTGTCATTCATTCACAGCATACTCAGGTCATTTAAGGACACTGGGCTGTCACTGAATGACAACAACTGTGCGGCTGGCTCCACCCAGTTGTTTACATTTGCGGGGACAATGGCCTGCTTCGGCAGACTGTTCTCCTTGCTTCGGCTGTGACTTTGGCTCAGCTGAGCTGAAGCATAAGCGTTTGGCTCAGCTGAGCCGTTCAGCTGCCTTTGGCTGCTGTGCTGGCTATTGTGAATAGCCCATACAGCAGCCCATCGGCTTCGGCTTATTCCTTCAGTTCTTAGTGAATAACCATCTATGTTTCCTATCATCAATTGCGGCAATACAGGCACTAATACTATTGTTGAAAATCACCACATTCTACAGACTAGACTCAGGGATGTTCCGAATGGAATATACCCACTAAATCACTGGCTCACGTCAATTGCCAAAGGCAAATACGTACATTTTCAAGTATATATAAAAATAAAAATATATATAGATGAGAAGCAAACATGTGGAGATATATAGGAATTCAGGCCCATGACTACAATAACTTTTAGAAATATCTTATCCTCTTTATTTAATAGGTGGAGTGATCAGGACAACTACGTCACTGAATTGAGACCACTGCTTACTATATGCCTCCTATAGAAAACATCCCAGCAGGGTAGACTGGGCCTTCTTGATATTTTCCAGGAGCTCCTCCCCCTGATGCCCCGGGATCCCAGGCACGACAAAGGATGGGATGTGGTGGTTGGCTGGTTCTCAGCCACCCAAGTATCTCGATCCTCCTCACAATTGGTTTTATCTCAGGCACTGCCTATGCATGACTACTAATTATCGATCCCCTGAAGAAGCTATAATTGTGAAATGCGTTGGGATAACTAGGACAATCATGTCAACTATGCACTTGAATATGGAACACTAAGGACCATTGGGTTAATTGTGTTAGTTATGCAATTGGATTATTTATCTTGGACTATCATGCATTTTTATTGTATGTGTACATATATATAAACATGGAAGCTATTGGCCTGAGATTGTACCAAATGGGCATATATTTATTGAATGTTTAATTTATGAGATCCAATTTTACCTTATTTATTCACAATTTTTTGTATGTCGAATAAATTTTGATCTAATTTTTATACAAGCAATGGTTGTATCTATCTCTCCACAAACCCTTTTTTTCCCCTCTTTTGTTGTAACTAATACAACATACTTTAAAAAAGAACTGTACTGAGATAATATGAAGGTGAAGATTGCTGACCTATCTGAAAATGCAAGTTGCATGGCTGCTTTGCGGATCTAGTGACATTAATATTTTTGGGGTCATTGACCTAGAAGATGTATGCAGATCAGAAATGTTGATTTCAATGTGACCTGCCTGCTTGCTCAGAGCCAGAACTCACAAAGTATTAGTTGTGAGGAAGCAACTAGCATTTTCTGAAATAGGTTAGCAATGGCAGCCTCTATATGTCTTTCAGTACGGGTCATCTTCAGTACTAAAAAAAAATTAGATTTTTTCCAAATGGTCAAGAATTTAAGAATGTTTTTTTCCCCCAAAACATAGTTATTGTTCTCTTTGGGACTACAGTGCAGATTAGAATCCTTCTGTATAATATAATAATAATCTGCCTAATAATATAGATTTTAAAAAGATTACATTAGCTCATAAAACAAAAACCCTTTCACTATATTTGTGTTCTTATCAGTCCCCTAGTAGTAGCATACAATCTCTCTTCCTTTTTACCATTGATTCCTCATTTTACAATGGACATATGCTGTTTGACATTGGCAATAAAGCAGACTTACCGGTGGGTACAATTTTTTATGTCTTTACTTTAATGTTTAACTGTAACAGACGGGTAATTTTTATTTGTCACAGCGATCACAGTGTACTCAGTGACATGTCATCATCTTCCCTTCTCTTCAGAAGGAAGATGTCATATTTGTTCAGGCATCATCCAAAGCCAGCATCTACTTCCATTGCTAAGATGCTGGCTCAGACATCACACAATTATAGACATCGTGGTGCCTATGCAGTGCTTGGCTATGTGAACATGTTTCAGACAGATCAGACCATGCTGCAGCCTCTCAGCTTAAGACTTGTTACAATCTGGTTGATGACTGAGGTAATGCTTTCTACAACATGCAGCAGACCTATGACATCAGTCTCCCAGATTTATCCCTTTGTCCTAAGCAAAGTCAAGTGCCCCAAGCTCGGTGATAGCTCTTTGATGATAAAAGGTAGAGGTGTTTAAAAATTAAACAAAAATTTCCTGTTGCTGTATGTTGTGACATGTCAAGAATGTTTTCATGCAGTTCTGAGACTGTAAGATCTAATGCTGATGTTATTGCCGCCTCACCATCTGCTCTGTTCTTCCACAGCTCACACATGAGCCTGTCACCTTAGCTTTCTTGGTGGAACAAGAAGTACATGTCAACAATCTGCAGCCCGCAATTGTGAAAGTTTATGATTACTCCAGTCCAGGTACATAACAGTAAACAGGTTCTTTCTAATTTTAAAGAAGTAAAAACCTTACCCTTGCAGTGGGGATACCCTGCAAGAGTTAAGTGCTCATTTTGTCTAGGGGCTAAAAAAAAGCAAATATATTCACTTTATACTCAGTCCCGCGGCGGTCATCACTCACCTCTCTCTCTCCTTCCGCTCTGGCTGTGGAGTGTAACTCGGCATCCTTTTGTCTAATGCAAGTCAATGGACCTGCATTTTGACGTGATGATGTCATTGGTCCTTAGACCACCAGATACATGGGGAGAAGAGGCTGCAGGGACCAGTCTAGCAAACCAGCGGGATCAGGGATCAGGTGAGTATATCTGCTTTTTTTTTAGCCCCCTAGACAAAACAAGCACTTAACCCTTGCAGGTAGCCCCACTGCAAGGGTACATTTTTTATTTATTTTTTGTAAGATTATTTTTAAATAATAACAAGAGACCTGTAAGTTTGTTTGTTTTTTGCCCATTAATGTCAAAGTTTAGTCATTTGAAAATTTACAGGCAAGAACTGCATGGTTCTTTCCAGAGTAATCATAGATTTTTCACCATGCCATTCCTAACATAATATTTTTTTTGTTGTTGTTGTAGATAAGCTTGCTGTGGCTACCTATAATTCTCCCTGCAGTACAGGTACTTATTGGTCATTTTATGTTCATTTACTCTTCTTTTTTTTACTGTGGCATTTGTTGTTTTCATACTTGTCATCATCGTGATACCTCATGGATGTAAATCCCCATAGAATCTCCTGCAATGCCTGTTAAAGGTTCTCAGAGTGTAAGTGCAAATAGGCCACGTATTTACAGGTTTAACTTAAGTAATCTATTGCAGTGCATTAACGCATGCTTGTTAACATTAATTTTCACATGCATTGCAAGTCAATGTGAAGGGGCTGCCAATGCAACGCAACCGATAAAAAATGCACATTGTGACAAATGGCAGGTCAAATCCACTGTGCTGCTACCAATGTGTGACGAATGTAAGGTCAGATCCCACTGAGTTGCCATCAGTATGTGACGATACCACTCTTAGCCTCACCCTGCCCAGAAACTTTCCAGATCGTGGGACAACAATTTAAAGGGTTATTAAACCCTTGTGTGTTTTTGCGTATATCTACTGCTAGCAAGCAGTAGATATATGCAAAAGCATTTTTGTTTTTAAAAAACTTTTAAAAGGGTTTAAACGTACATGTGTCTTCGCCGCGCGCTCCCGTCTGAACATCTGAAGAGTCTCGGTAGGCCGCGAAGGATCTTGGGGGGATCTTGGGACAGAAGTCTGTCTGCTAGACCAGTCCATATAGCCTCTCTCCCCTTCCAAACAGGAATATAACGGGGGGAATTTATAACGGGGGGAATTTATCAAGGGAGTTGCTCCACTTTTCTTTAAGTGACAAATTTTCCACGTTATTTGCGCACCTTATTTATCAATGCAGTCTAAGCCTTGATAATAAATGTCATTTTCATTAGACATGTCTGGGGGGATTTATCATATCAATTGCGAGTGTTTGAACTTGCACCGAATATATTTGCACCAGAGTTATCAAGCTAGTGCAATGTTGTTGATAAATGAGGTTTAATAGACTCCAGGAAAGAAGACTTGTAACTTCAGGCAAAAAACTTAACTGTCACATCTGGAAGAAGTGGTCATGGGGACTTAAGTTGTGATTGTTTTCTTAAGTGATGCTCCAGTTTCAGACAGCCCAGAACAAGTGCAGATGGAAACACGTGCAAAAAAGGTGCAAAAAAACATGCAACTGAAAAAATAGTGCAGGCTCTGAAGAAAACAGGTGCAAAAAACATGCAGTTGAAAAATTAGTGCAAGCTCTGATCAAAACAGGTGCAAAACACGTGGAAAAACATGCCGTTGAAAAAATAGTGCAGGCTCTGAAGAAAACAGGGGCACATGTTAAAAGACAGATTTGCACATGAAAAAAATGATCTAAGAGGCTAAAACTGTCGCAAGTGCTTTGATAAATTCCCCCCAACAGGTTTTACAATATGGTAGCACTCTTCATAGAGAGAAGGATTCTAAAAATTATTATTTAGAGCTTAGAGATAAGCTTAAAGGGTTTCTAAACCCTCACGTTATTTTGCATATATCTACTGCTAGCAAGCAGCAGATATATGCAAAAAGTTGTTTTTTTTAAACCGCTTTAAAAGAGGTTTAAACTTACCCCTTTCTTCGCCGTATGCTCCCGTCCGAAAATCTGAAAATGCTCGGACAGCCGCAAAGCATCTTGGGGCCGGCACATGTGCTGTTCGGATTTTCGGCCGGGGGACGAGGAGAGACGCAAAGTAAGTCTATGGATGCATGCACCCGCATGCAGACACCGTGGGACAGGAAGTGCCAGCAAGGACAGAGGAGTCAGCGCTGGATCGCAGACCCGAAGCAGCGCTGGAGGGACAGCTGAAAAAGACAGGAAAGAAGAAGATGGGATAAAAAGACATAATTTAAGGTAGGTGCTTTACTTAACATTGGGGGAGGGAAAAAAGTTTTTACCTTCAATGTCACTTTAACAATTTTAAAGGATTGTTTTTAAAAAAGGAAAATGTGCAGAAAAACATACAGAAAATATGTTACAGAAAAGAGGCAAATAATACACCAGCAAAACAAAAAGGGAAACAAAGTCCTGGGTTCTGTCAAGTCCAGTCAATAAGGCATAAAATGGATATGAGATTGGCTCTAGAAACAAGTCTCTTGCAGATCTTCTTTTCGTGATTTTAAAGGAGAACTCCATCTACCTCATGCAGCAACGTTTTGTGGGCCTTCCCACCCAATCAGAAGGGCACAGATGTGTGAGATAAGAGGACTGAAACATTTATATTTCACCAGGCCTTCCAATAATGTCAGTTTCAAAAATACAGCCATATTTCTTTTCACCCACATGCTACCATCTGATAAACCATAGGTATGATCCTGAACAAGTTTGTATATAAGGGCTCCTAACTTTTCTCTGACTTTCCTGATCTACATGCTCGTCCCATTATTGAAGTCTGTGGGATGGGATAGCAGCCTCTGGCTGAAACTGGATCTGAACCAGGAACATGAACTCTGGAAGGCAGATGTGCTAACTGCCAAGCTACTGCACTGTCCTGTATGGAATATAGATTATTATGAGATTCAGCACAGGTTGACTTTTAAATTCTATCAATTATGGATAATAAGCAAAAGATTCTCATGTTCTTCCAGGCTTGTAACTTTAAGTATTAAAGTCTGTGGAATGGCATAACAACCAGTTAATTAGCATTTTGAGAGGAATCAGTCAACACTGGAAGCTCCCATATTTCTCTTAGTCCAGGTCTCTAGAAATACTGGGGATGACATTCTGATTTCTCCAACATAAAAATGCCCATGGCCTGGCTCTTGTGCTGATTTAGTAACTTCAATATTGGAGCCATCTGGCCGCTGATGACCTGCCACAATGCATGCGCAGTGTGGTAGGTAAATTGTCCGGGGCATGTGCATTATAGCAGGGACTGCCTAAGGCTGGGTTCACACCTAGGCATATCGAATATGCGCGCGTTTCATGCCGTGCCTTTTTTACCGCGAATCACGTTTCCGAGGGCTACCTGGCTGTATCCCAATGGATACGCGCGGCAAATACGCCCCCAAAGAAGCTCCTGTACTTCTTTGGGCGTAGGGCGTTTTGCTGCGCTTTCCTACGCGCTGTAAACCGCCCAGGTTGGAACCATGACCATAGGCAATCATTGGTTGAGCGTTTTACAGAGCGTAGGAACGCGCTGTAAAACGCCCAGGTGTGAACCAGGCCTAAAGGCTCCTAAAATACATGATGTCAGTGTTCCAGGAGGAGACAAGAGAGCGGGATGTGCAGGGCTGGGACCCACAAACCAGTACTTTCCTATCAAAAAGCAAAAAGTTAATATCTGATTGTATAAAGAGGGGAGAGGCAAATAATGGCAAGTTATTGAGGAGGTTGGAGGAAAGCTTTAAGACATTGTGTAAAACACCTAAAACCAATTATGAATAAATATACTTTTATAAAATTCATACAGAATGGTAATTTATACGGACCTTTCACTCTTCACAGGTCCAGAGGATGGAGATGACGTTCATTGGCAATCCTCTACCTTCATCAAAGGACAATGAGTTTTATATCTGACCAACAATACCTACATCACAGGACAATGAGTTGTATATCTGACCTACAATACCCTAACAGCTTTTATTGCAATAAAATTAATTAAATTAATACATGTGTTATTCTATTGTTTCACCCATGGCAAACCCATGAGACCTTTACTTTATTAACCTACATTACAGAGTTTCTAACAAGGTGCCCCAAGTCCGCAACATTTAGCATTGGAATTCAGTGGAGAATCATTGCCACTATGCCAGAGTCCCTGCAGAGCCACAGTTTACACTAACCATGGCCCTCCGTGACCTGAGCATAGCAGCAATTCCTGATGTGTCCTTCTTCATTACCATGGGACCCTTTAATCAGGGTAATCACAGTGGTGTCTGGCACAGGGTAACAGGAAGTTCTCCCTCAGGTATGTGTCATCATGTGACAAAATAGAGCTAAGAGAAAGCATTACAAAATGTTCTCTCTTGCAATTCCACAGCTATAAAGCACAGCATATGCTTTAAAAGTAAAACAATGATTCCACATTTATGTAGCAGATCACTGTTCACAGATCACATTACAAAATTGCCCTCCACTTTGCTTGCATGAGGAATCCAAAGCATCAGAGCCTCATTCATTTTAATGAATAGGCAAAAAGAAAGTCCCTGAAGGTGACCAGTCAAAGTCATGGGTCCACCCTCTCCTCCTATGACCTACAGGGTTATTCACAAAAGGGTGAAGAGTTTGAAGAAGGCAGGAGCAGTTAACAATCTAGGACAACATAGCTGAACTGGAAAGTGAGCTGAATTGGAGAATTTTTCCAAATCATCTATTTTGTCCTAGATTGTTCACTTCTCCTGCTTTCTCCAAACTCTTCACCCTTTTGTGAATAACCCTGCTAGTGTTCTTTTTAGCATGGTATAGAGAAGACTCCAAAGGACACCTCAAGCTCCACACTGACACGTGAAAGGCAGGGGCAGTGTGATGTAAACACTACAGTGTCCTGAGGATAGTGATAGACATTTTTCTGTGTTAAATAGATATTTTTACATATTCACCAGATGATTTCTGACTTGTTGATCTGGGTGTTTGGATTCTGCACATAATCACTGCTCCTATGAACCAATGTTTTATTCAGGTGTGTTAATGTCTTCTCTGGGAACAAATCATTTTCACTTAATGAAGTTCCTTAAAGTATAATTATAAAGCAAAGGCTTATTATTACTTATTAAGTTTGTTTTGCCTTCAAGGTATTTGTACTTACTTTCATAAGATGACATCAGTATCACAACAAACAAACCTTTTGTATAGCGAGATTGTCTTCTGTCTTCAAGAGTTCAGTAATTAGATGTTAAAGCAGACCTACGCTATATTATGGACTTCGTTCTCAAGTGACTCTCTGGCCACACTAAGTTTAATACCTGTAAAACCCATCATGCACAGTGGGAAAGGCAGCAGTTTGTTAAGTCCACTGTAGTAATTTGTTGGTTCTTAGGGGCATAGTTACAAAGTAGTGACTGTGACATTCACCAAACATTCACAAGTGATTAAATGTAAGCCTAACAATGAACTGCTCTTCTTTGCACCTGGTTGATATGTTTATTATATATTTGTATATATCTGTTCAATAAGTGCAACAAAAATGTATTTCCTGGAGCATCTCGGCAGCACGCCATGGGATCTTAACCCGTGGTGTGCTGCCATCGATGCACCAGGAAAGGAAAATTACGGAAGGTAAGTATACAATATTACGTTATATATATATATATATCATGTTGATGTTGCCAGAAATCCATTGAGCCTGTAACCTCATGTGTTCCCTGCACATATTAGCCCTAGCTGTTATCAGCCCTGCTGGGTTCACTTTTGTGAGGTACAGTTATGGAGAAGAGGGGAAGGAAAGGTATTCTGTAGTCCTAACAAACTTCTCGGCCTAGGGTGACAATATTGCTCCTCCATAGATACAGTGAGTGAGCCCTGTCACCATAGGACAGGAAGTGTGCTATTGGCAGGATCACCAGGTAAAAACAAAAAGAAAACCATGAAATAAGAAAATGAATGCAGACACCGTATCTGAGCACTTGAAAGATGTAATATATTATATTTTTGTTTTTGGGTTTTGACACACTTTCATCATTGCCTGTAATTTAAAACACATGCACTCACCTGCAATGAATATTTGGTGAATGTTTTATTAACGTATAATTAAATAAGCCCCTTAGCAACTCCCTACTGCTTTTGACCTATAAAGGTAAGTCGTAGTAGTTCATTAGAGTAGCTACTATGTGACCATATTAGAACGTAGAGGCTTTTACAGTGGTTTAATTGTAACACTATCTGCATGACGAACAAAGCTAAATATTATGTATACACTATAGATGGTGAGCCAAAGTGGAAATGTGCCTGCTCGTGTAGATTACTTTCTCCAGGCTGTTTTCTTACACAAAGTACTTTCAGTGTAGGCAATGTTTGGGAACATTGTATTACACATGCAATTGCCGTGAAATTACAGTTTATGAGCAGAGTTAGTATACATCTCTTTTTCCGGGTAGCCTTGTTTAGTGTCATACCAGTTGACTTTACGCAAACATATAGGCATCTCTGGTCTGTTTGAGTTTATTTTGGATGACAGTGAATGAAATGTTTTGTAGACATTGCAGGAGATTTATTTTCTTTGCCTTAATAAAGTATGCCCGAGGAATAAAAGAAAGAGAAGGCAAGAAACCCCTGAGGTGAACCGTGACATGATCCTTGATATATCATTTTATGACTCCATAATTATGTTACGAAGACAAGTCTGTTTCAAAGTAAAGCTATAAAGTTCATTTTTTTGTCCTTGTTTTTTGTTGTTGTTGTAGGTGCTAGTGTGTGAGCGGGTGAATTAGTAATGTTTAGTTAGGAAAAGTCCTGTTTATACTACTGTAACAACCTTTAAATTGCATGTCTATAATGCTGGTTACCTCTAAATGGTGCAGCACTGTTTTGTTCAGTAATGCTGGTCATGAAACACTTCTTATAACGTAATTTAGCCATATAAACCTGCCCCCAGATTAACAGCAAAGGCATTATTGGTTGGGTGTTGTGCACTACGGGAGAAAATTAATGGTATACAGTTACTTTTGTTGAATCTAACACTCCAAATGCATATTAGGAAAGATGATTTTTTAATCCCTGGTGCCTAGGGTTGCTACTTTTTCTTCAAGCAAGACCTGAACACAATCACGTGCAGCAATTTTTTGGGGGGAGAATATACAGGAAAGCGCAAGGAGAATCAGCAGAAGAGAGAGCAAGGAGAGACAGCCAGGAGAGAGAGTGGAGAAACAGCCAAGGGAGAGAGCAAGGAGATACAGGCAGGAGAGAGAGTGAGGAAAGAGAGCAAGGAGAGATCGAGGAGAGACAGCCAGGGGAGAGAGTGAGGAGACACTAGAGAGAGGGAGGAGAGAACGAGGAGAGACAGCCAGGAGAGGGAGTGAGGAGAGGGAGAGAGCCATACCCTGCAGAACTTGGTAAATGGGCCAATGGGATATTGCCTTGCAAAAGTAGATATGGCATGTTTACTGAGCTGGACCCAGCAGGTCTTCCCATTCGGAGGCAAAGTTGCTTAATGCTGGATTACTGTGTAGATATGGAAATAATAAAAAAGGACACCAAGATCCAAATAAGAATACATATGGCTCTTGTATTTAGACAATATTTGTTTAGCTTAGATTTCAGTTTTAATGAGGGGATATTGACTTTTGTCAATATGTAAAATTACTTTTGTGAATAGTCAGGCAGCCTTGGGCTCTTCTAAGTGAAAGTTCCTTGTCCTTTCAGCTGTCTTAATTCTCATAACAAACAGCTGTGGTTAATTGTTTCCTGAGAGTGTTCAGAAAATAATAAAATGTCCTAGCAGGAAGAGAGTCTTAAAGGTGACAGATAAATGAAAAAGTAAACCACTTAGTACCTTATACAGTATGTGATGAACAAGCTCTAAAACTATAATGCAGTATCCTGCAGGGACTGCACAAACCTTAACCTACCTTATTCAGCAGCCTTACTGGCCAACATAAACACGCAGAAGGCCTAGAAGGAGTGGGCCAGCATCCTACATAAAAGTAAAGATCACAACTTGCTTGCTTACTTTGCCTATTTGTTACAGAATACTTTCTGCAAGGCATTCCAGGATTGCTGCTTCTTTAAAGCCTGACTTGAAAGCTGTTTGCCTGTGTGTGTTTAATTGGCTTCTTGTTTGGTCTGTTTTCCACATTTTGCAGAATTGGCCCACCAGATGAACCAATCTGTTCAATTAACTAGTAAAGGGGTCCTTGAGACACATTTTCCAGTTCCATTCCAAGTTGCAGAGCCCCCATACAGGAAGCCTCTTTTCCATTGAAGCATTGGCTCCAGGCCCTTGACTACCAACCCTGGTACTGGACTGTGATAAGGTCCCCTTAAACTGCCTGTAAAGTGGCAAATCTGTACAATGTATATAACCTGCTGCAGCAAAACTGAAATTTCTAAAGAAAAAACAATAAAAAAAATTAAAAATTCTTAAAGCATGCAGTTCCCCCTCCCAAACAATACCAGACCCTTTAGGGCGTTGGTTGTGGGGGTGCGGGGAGGGGGCTTATTCACATCAGGGTACCCCTTTATCCAGATCCAGATTCTGCCCCCCCCTTGTGAATGAGTAAGGGGTACTTGTACCCTTACCCATTCACTAAAGGGTTAAATACAATTGTTATTAACAAGTCCAAACTTTTCATAAAATCCTTTATTTGGATAAAAAACAAAAGACATGTTTTTGACAAGTCTTATTTTTTTTTTTTTTAAATTGATCCACCAACGTAATTCATGGTCAATCATGACGTCCAGCGTTGTCCACGACGACGGCGACGAAATAAAAAATAAATAGAATACATTTTTTTTAAAGACGAGCTCGCGACGAACACCCTCCGCATAATGGCATTTTGACAGATGTCGGCAAAACATAAACAATTGGGCGGAGCTAGTGGTGACAGCTAGCTCCGCCCAATTGTGTAGTTTGGCGTTTTCTGACAGGTGAGACATGATTGGGCAATGTGTGATCTTGCCACCGAGCAGAGCAACCAATAATGAGATATTATGGATATCTGTGTCTCCCCAGCCAATCACTAGGAATTTCATGGCCAGTGGTGCATGCTGCGGGAGCGCATAAATATTTGGGGTGGACAGTGTGTTTGACCTTCGCTTCCCCCAGGCCTCCTGCCTGGGGTAAGGTCAGTGCAGTGTGAATTGTCTGACCAGCCCTGAAGGCCTTCCGGTGGTCAGGTGTGGACCCAGTCAGGGTCAGGAATTGTTCCTGGGATGGAGAGCCAGGGAGGAACTTCCTCTGGTGGAGGTACTGGAGAAGCTAGGATGGGCTTGGACCTCAGAGAGAAGTCTGGTGTCTCACCCAGGGGAGAGCTCAAACATGTCTGCTGACCCAGCTATGGTTCTCTGACACACTGTGACCGCATTTTGTATTCAAAGGCCCTCTACACTGTGAAGCTGGAAAGCAGTTGGTGAGTCTTGAGTTCTGCCTTATTCAAGATGTCTTCAGCCCTTACACTCTCTCCCTAACCCGGACCCTACCTAACATGGCACTGGTACCTATTAACAATCATGAATGCAGGAATAAATTCAACATTGTTGTAACTTCAGTCCGAAAAGAGTTTTGTCACAAACCTGTCTCAGACTTATCTATGTTACACTAATGATTTTTATGTGGACATATTATTTCAAATGATTACAGAAAGTCCCTGATTTGCATTAAATGAATAGGAATGAATTCTGCTGTCCATGACCCAGCAAATCGGTGTTCCCTTTACAGCTCTGGATCACCTGCAGGAGCTTTGCAGGATCACTAAAATTAGGACTCAGGTAAGTCTGTTAGAGGAGGATGGGGAGCAAACATAAATGTAGTAAGTCTCTTTTATATTCTTCTTGTAATTGTAAGGCCTGATAGTTTTATAAGGACAGATGCTGGAAAACACTGTTCCAATGTCAGTACGCACAGAGCGGATTTCAGACCATATGGGGGCATTTTACCATTAAGTGGGCACCCTTGCTATGCAACTTACAGGTAATTGCCACAAGTATGAGGGTCCCGTCATTCATTTAGAAGAGGCATTGCCCATATTGGCTACACATGATGCTAGCTGTATGTACAACACTACAAATTATCACCAAGGCTGGGAAATGGTGTGCTATGTTTAACATGTGTACACAGGGCTTGTAGGAAATAACTTCATTAAAAGTTACAATGCATGGGGGAGGAGCCTTCACATTATTAAAAGAGGGAGCATGTAAATGAGCGCTGATGAGGCTTGCCAACATAAAATGTAAGATCTTCCAACTAAGACGCCACAAGGAGAAGACCAGAGCATTGAACCTGCTGGAAGCAGCAAGCAAACTATTTAAGACTTGGAAAGAAACTTTATCACTTGTTTCTCTGACATGTGGCACCATTTTCTCCTAGTTTGTGTTCTGCTCTCATCTACCATTGGACAGCAGTCGTTTATGTAAGCAAAACTTTACCATTTCTTTTATTAGGCTTTGCTTGTGGGCTGATATTTGAACATAATTGCTATCAGTGGAGCAGAAGTCTGGCTTTGTTACATCTGAGCATTCAGAGTTGGCTCATGGTGTAAAAGAACATGTTACATTCACATAGTAGTAACATATTATGTTAATTCAAGAAGCAGCAGAAGCCATGATGAATCACAGCTCTGTCCTCTTGCAGAATAGAGGCACATATGTCTTTTTTTGGCAGAACACAGTGACAAAGCTTCAACTATTTTATTTGAGCTCTAATGTAGAAACTACAATCTCTTAGGGATCATCTTCCCCATCTTTTTATGGCAGACCTCCATATTATAGGGCGGTGTGGTGATGTCATCTATTATGGAAATAGAATTTGTTGCCTTTATTGTTTGAGTTTCATTTTTTGTATGTTTCTGGAACTAAGCTCTATTTCCATGACAACAAATTTGATCATTAAAAGGAAACCTGTTTTAGAGCCCATTCACACCAGAGCGGTTGCGGATCAGCGCGGTTAACAGGCTGATCTCAAAAGGGAGGTTTGGGGAGTTTTAAAAACGCCCTAAACCGCGCTGATCATCGCTGTTCCATTGAAAGCTGTATGCAAACCGCACTGATCAGCGTGGCAAAAATAGTGCAGGGAGCAGTTCGGGTGGGGGGACGGTTCGGGTCGCGTGGACCTGCGCAGTCGCATGAACGGTCCCCATAGCAATGTATTGGATCGTTCATGTCGGCGGATCTGTGTGACCGAACCACCCCGGTGTGAACGGGGTCTCAAGAAAAGTATGTATGGTTGCTGTTGCTGGCCTCTTCTGAAACTGGTGGTTGCCGGGCTGTCATGCTGGTTCAGTGGCTTTGGTTCTTTGAGCCATTGCCCTAAAACAAGTATGCCAATAATTTTGACTCTCTAGACGGGCAATGCTTGCATGGGTTGGTAACTCAAAAATTATAAGGTACTGGATTAGCATGCCAGGAAGCGAGAATATTTAGAAGGAGGGGTCTGTCCAAAACCAGAAAATTGGAAGGATATCTATACTCTACCTGAAAATGCTAGGTGTCTGGCTGTTTCAGGCTTTGATATCTCTAGCCAGATCTTCTGAATGTTATACTTGTTCCGGGTCAGTGCCCTAGAAAAGCATCGGCTCTTATTTACTCACTATTGGTTTTCTTTAATGTGGATTACTCACCTATTGAAGTAGATGGGAACATTGTTCTGTACATAGGCACTAGGGAAATTATTTACATTTGCTCTGAGTGATCGTTCTTATTAGAACCAGGCCCGGTGCTACCGCAAGGCAAGTCAGGCGGCCGCCTGAGGGCGCTGCAGGGTGAGGGCGGAAGAAACAGGGCATTTTGACAAGTACCTGTACTTGTCAAAATGCCCCGATGTTTGCGCTATGTTTTTTTTTTCACTTACCTTCGGTGCGGGAGAGCAGGGCCGAGTCAGCGCTGGTCCAGTGGTAGGAGCTCCAGGTGGGGTCCTAATTTAGCTGGCCTATCGGGGCATTTTGACAAGTACATGTACTTGTCAAAATGCCCAGTTTTTACAGGGGGTCGGGGGGGGAGGGGAGGCGCGCAAAAATGCAACTTGCCTGTGTAGGCAAGAATCCTAGCACTGGCCCTGATTAGAACCACATTACAGAAACCAACAGACTGGCAGTAAACTGTTATTTCAGTTGCTGCCAGTGTATGTGACAGATTGTTTTTATTTCTTCCATCACTGCTGAAAATAAGAAGCTTGTGCATTAAATATTAGCACTGAAGTATGCACACAAACAGAAGAATGAGAAATTATGAATATGGAATAATATGGAGAGAATTATATTATATTCTGATTTATTTTCTCTTTTAGAAATTATCTGCTGCTGGTCCCAGCGCAGATCGAACATCCATCCACTGAGACCATGTGTGTGGACATCTGTGGAGCCAGAGAGACATTGAACCTTACTGTCACCTTACACCATGGGACTCAGGATTCCACCCTACTGCAGCAGGAAATGATCCCACCCAAGTTATTCAAATGTGTTCAGTTCATGGTAAGTCAAGTCAATACAGGTCCTACTAATTTTACTTGAACCAGTAAATGTGTGCCTTTTCATCCACAAGTTAATTTAGTTGGAATAGTTTTTATTTCCTGTGTGATTTCGTATCACACGTGTATGTTTTATTACTTGATTAGACAGTATTTTAGTTGCCTGGTCAGGAGTGCTATCTTATTAGAGCTTGTAGGGTAGACAAAGTGACAACTGATCATAGTGGAAACGGGTAGTGAAGGGGGAGCAGTAGTTTATCCTTGCTGGAGGGTAGGGAGGCAGGTGGTCATAGGCCACTAGGAGAAGAGGCAGAAAAGAACTGACCATGGACACTTGGGGTGAGAAAGAGGAGACAGAATGGCAACTGATCATGTGCTGGGCAAGGAGATAGAGGAGGTGAACGGAAACGTATTATTGAGCATGGGGGCACCAGCAGAGGAAGCTGGTGATGGCAGTAGCTGTGGAAGGGAGATAGGAGTGACAGCTGACCATGCTACATTGGGAAGGAAGGCAAACCAGGAGCTGACCATGGGCCTGGGGAGAAAAGAGGAAGAGCATGATTGTGGACAGGCAAAGAAAAGGTTAAGAATGAGCTGAGCCTACACCATTATTATTATTATTATACAGGATTTATATAGCACCAACAGTTTGCGTTGCGCTTTACAATATAAGGAAGACATTAACAATACAATTCAAGACAAGATGGTAAGGAGGGCTCTGTCCATGAGGGCTTACAATCTGAAATTGTTAGTTACATTTGCAAAATAGTTAGAGTGGGAACTCAGCTGAGCAGGGCAGAGGTGCTTCTAATCATAGATAATAATACATGGCTCTGGAACTGCTACAAGCTCGATCCCATGATAGACTACAATCCCATTACAAATTAGACTACAATCTCATATTTAGTTTACTATCACAGGAGTGAGCTTGGAGCAGTGGCTACTTTGCAACACACACACAGACCGTGGGGAACAAAAGTAGCCACCCTTCAGAAGGAAGGACAGTGACACCAATTCAAAGATGATATGAGGATCTACAGCCGAGTGATACACAAACTACATTTTTGTTATTAGTTAAGGTACATGAATGCATTTTTAAGATATAACTCCAGAGTTCAGTGTCGCTTTCAATGAGCAAAGCATTGAACATTGTTAACATTCATAAGAAGCAAGAAAATGTAGAACCTAACTTTAAACTTTACATTGCTTAGTTTAGGTAATGAAAGATGCATGCTTCAGGGCAATATTGTCTAATGGATAAGAGTGCCAGTGCTAAGAACTGCTGTCTTTCTCAGTCTCCTAGTCTAAATGGAAAGAAAGAAGAAGTGATATCAATTCACCTTTCTATTGTTGGGCCAAACACGCAGTTGTCTGAAAGTAAAAACCTGCTGGTGCGCAATATGGGCTCATTCACTCTCATTCAAACCGACAAGCCTGTGTACAAACAGGATGAGACTGGTGAGTCATCTAAAGTCTTTACTTTTTTTGCTTTTTGGAATCTTCCCTGTAACCTAGTTTTATTACCCATTGATCCAGTCCCTTGCATCAGTTACAAGACTGGGGACAAGAGGAATGCAAAATCTCCTTTACTGAAAAAAATCTTCTTTTCAGGGATTTTATTAATATTCATTACAATATGCAGGGTAAATACGTACCGTACTTACAGCACCAACTTATTTGTTTATAAAGTAGTGGATGGTTAGAGTCTCTGTCAATTTTTATTCCTGCTTATGTCCCCATGAAGGATACTTTGTCCTATTTCCTGTTTCATGACATTTTGTAGCTAGGACAGTAGGTAGTACTTTATGCTGATACTTCTGGCTTTTATCATGTATATATTAACATTTTAATGACACGACAATTCCATTTTTACTAATGCTTTCACAAATGTCCATAAAGTCTGTCTGTAATGTCTTTCAGTGAAAATCCGAATATTGACCTTTAACAGGGACCTTCTGGCTGTTAATGACACTGTAAGTTAAACTGTATCTTATTGTATCTATCTTATCTTATCTGTATCTGTCTGCAAGTAAAAAAAAGGAGAGGTGTACATTTGTAACATGATTGCTTTAATAAAAACTGGCCTCAGTGATTGATAAAAACTGGTGCAAAGTAGGGATGCACCGATACTAGTATCGGTATTGGTGCCGATGCCGAGTATTTGGGCAAGTACGTGTGCTCGCCCAAATGCTCCGATGCCTAGCCCGATACTTCCGGTATCAGGAAGCTGGGCAGAGCGTCATTACACGCTGCCCGGCTTCCTCATTGGCCGGGAAGCCAGCTCCATGCTCTCTCGTCACTTGCTTACTGGCCAATCAGGAAACCGGGCAGCGTGTAATGACGCAGGGCCCGGCTCCCTGATTGGTTGGGAGCTGGCCAATCAGGAAACCAGGCGCCGTGTAATGACGCAGGGCCCGGCTTTCTGATTGGTTGGGAAGCCGGCCTTATGCTCCCTCGTCACCTTATGACGAAGGAGCATGGAGCTGGCTTCCCGGCCAATCAGGAAGCCGGTCACCGCATCATTACACAGCGCCCGTCTTCCTGATTGGCCAGAAAGCTGGCTCCATGCTTTCTCATCACATAGTGACGAGAAGCATGGGGACGGCTTCTCTGCTAATCGGGAAGCCGAGTGGCGAGTCTTTACACGACCGGCTTCCGGCTAATCAGGAAGCCAGGTGCCGAATCATTATACGCCGCCTGGCTTCCTGAATGGGACTTCCGATATTCGGTATCGGCGAGTATTGAAAAAAAAATATTGGTACTCGATACCGAAATACCAGTATCGATGCATCCCTAGTGCAAAGCAATTTAAAGCCAGCCTGGCTTATAAGCCAAATTTACTGTCTCATCTTGTTCTAGACATCCTCTGGTGCCTTAAGTCAACTTTAGTGCCACTTCACTTCCCCTCACTACCCCTGTAAATAATAACTAATACTCAGTGTTTTTGGAAGTGGCACACTCTGCCTTCTGGCAGTTTAGTTCTAGGTGTACAGAACCACATTGGACCACATTGTACAAATTGTAATTGACACAGCTTGATGATTAAGCAGCGTAGGGTTATACTGCCACCTATGTTGCTTAAATATCATCAAGCTGTGTCTCTGAAAGGATTAGAGTAGACAAATGCTATTATTACAATATCCCACAAACAAAAGTTTACCAACTATCCTGGCACTATAGAGGACCGTGTAACATTATATCAGCAGGCAGTTGCCAGTGTAAAAACCTGTTATACAAGGTGATATGTTACTGACTGTCAGTACTATGATGTGCGGGTGGCTGTGTGTCACCTTTGGGAACCCCGCTGTGCTAAAAGCAACCTATGTTTGGTATGCAAAAATCTGGCTCTAGGGGGTGTATGTTAGGTTTGCTTAATGTGTTAACCATAACAAGTAGATAGACCAATCATTTAATTTTATTCAAGAAAAGTAACAGAAAATGCATAAAAACGCACCTTTTGTAGGTTTCTTGCACGTTGTTCAGGTACTCCCATTAAAGCCTATTGGGCCCAAAATACTTGACTCTGCTCCAAAAGAAGCTCATGTACGTTTCTGAGCTACAAGCGTTTTTACTACAAGCGACAGAACACTCCAGTGTGAACAGGGGCCATTGAAAGCAATGGGAATCCTCCTAGTGACTATTGTCGAATTTTGTCATTCGAGCTACAAAATGCTCCGGTGTAAATTTAGCCCTATTGCTTTTTGTTCCAGTTTTCATAAATCACCACCAAGTATGGTTTTTGGGTAATTTTTTTTTTTTCTTCAATTAACCACCTCAGGGCCGGCCGTTGTCTCTAGATCTGAGCAGGCCCTAAAATTATACCACCCATACATACACGCATGCAAACATGCGTCAGGTGCGCATACCTGTGAAAACGATTGCACCCATGACGCCGCACATGTTACATATAGCCGCGACCGTCGCAGTGGGAGCGATAATTTTAGGGCCATCAATCACTGATAACACTAAACTGATGAGCGGTAAAAGCTTTTAAAGCGTCGCCTATGGTCAATTTTGGGTATTGTAGTTTTTTGCGATTTCGCGGGTGCGCACAATTTTCAAGCATGACATGTTTGGTGTCTACTTACCCGACGTGACCCCGTCTTTTATATTTTACCAAAAAATTGGGTAATAATAATTGTTTCCTAACAATGTAAAAAACACTTTTTTTTCCAAAATTTTCTGTAAATTTTCTAAAATATAGAAAAAAATAAAAACCCCAGTGGTGATTAAATAACACCAAAAGAAAGCTCTATCTGTCCCCAAAAAATGGTATAAAATTCATTTCAGTACAGCGTTGCATGACGGAATAAATGTCAGTCAAAGTAGCGCAGCGCTGAACACTGAAAAATGGCCTGGCCAGTAAGGGGGTATAAACACCTGGTCTTCAAGTGGTTAACAAGTTTTATCAACGTATGTTTTTAATATCCTTTTTTCATTATTTGTATGAATCTTTTTTTTGTTTGTTTACAAAGAAACTTTTCAAATTTGGTGCATTTATTATAGCTTCCTATACAGAGAGCCTAGCACTGCCTGCCTGCTCGCTCAGCCAGAGGGTCCAACCTCGACTATATTGTTTTTATTGGTAGATTCTATGGTTATAAACAATGTTCCATTTAAAAAAAATTATTTACAAAAATGTCGCTTGCATCACAGAATTCAAAAGGGACTTCCTCCAAATTGCCAGCCAATAGCAAACAAAGTTTGTGGGTTACATGGAAACCATCCCTAGGGAAACAGCCTGAAATGAAACTAAGTTAAAAAAAAATGTACAGAGCGGCAGATCTGACAAACAATACAAGTTAAAAGAATAAAAGCGGAGAGGGGAAAATGCCAAAATAATACAAACTAACAATAATGCTGAAAAAATAAATATAATCACAAAAAGTATAATCAGTGTACTATAGTCCAAAGGAAACCAGAGACCCACAAGATTAGTGTTCAGGCAGGAAGCGCAGGAGTGACAGATTCATAATTCAAGTTCATCTGCAGGGTGTAGATACAAAAAAGACACTCAGTGTAATAGAATAAGATTTCTGTCTTCTACTTGATTTGGTCTCTGAACATGTTCAGTAATCATGCCTCGGTTTCATGTATATGATGTTGAGGTTTAAAAAAATGTACAGCAACCAGCTCATTGTGCTTAAAGTGACATGAATGATGCTGATGAAATCACTTACAATGGATGCTGCTTCTTGATGTTTAAAAGTTTCCGCTTCCTGCAGAATCATCTGGTCCCCTGAGCACTGGTCCTGATATTCTATTTTATGGTGGCTCCTTTCCCTTGCAGGGTCCTATGGGGCCACGCTTGTGTGTGCTATTAAGCTCCTCCGTGCTCTTCCCTCCAACCTCCTCCTTTTCCCAGGCTAGTAGTTGAGGCTGCTCTGTGCCCTGTGATCAAGTACTAGACAGGAAGTTCAGGGAAACGGAGCTGAGAGAGTTGGAGCCAGCTGTTCAGAAACATGATGACTGTAAGTGTTTGAGCAAAAATTAAAAGAAATATTTCGCTGGGCAATGTATATTTGTTTGATCTGGATTCATTATTCTAAAAAGTTTAAAAGTTTATTACTACTATAATTGGCCTCTGCAGATGGTACTCAAGGGCCACACAAATGTCACTCCTGTGCTTATGAAATCTACATCTGAATGACCATGTCATTTTAGCAACATATACCAGAGAACACGGGCATTTCAATAGGTAGACACTGTAATCTGTGATACAGTTGTGATATTCTGGAATGTGGTACATATGACCTGTGTGTGGATGAGAAAATGAAGGACTGCAGATAAAGGGTCAATGTTGGCACAAAGTTAATACACGCATTCTTATTTTTTCATTTGGAATCCTAAACTGTGTGACAATCTTTCCGTTTTGTCTCTGTAGTGCCCCCTAGTGGAGATACAGGTGAGTAACAAAACCCTGTCTTCAATATGTTCCTATCTCTAAAGTCTTGTATCAAAGGAAGTTTGTTTTTTGCTCCTGACCTGTATTTGTAAAGCATCTTGGAAGAATTTGAAGTGTTTGAATTTTGGATCTTATGGAGTAATGTTCGCTTGCGTTTGCTATGTTTGCAAGGCATGCTTGGCCGTGTCTGCACTGCTCCTTCTTTAGTTAACAGTTCAGTGTGAGTGCTAATAAAAGAAAGCTAATAAAACATATTGAAATCATATTTTACTTCAATGGCAAGCTAACTGCCCAGTGTTCAATAACTCCAATGTTGCCCGTATGTACATTATTCAAACCCAGCAAGTAGTGGCTCAACCTTCTAAAGATGTAGTTATCAGTGTGAACACACACATAACCAAATCCAAATGTCACAAGTGTTTACCATCCAAACCGAACTAAAGCCTTCATGGCCTGCAAAGGCATTTAAAGGAGAACTCTACTCAAAAATGCTCAGATGTACCTGAATCTACTTTTTGCTTATTTGGATGATTCCAAAATTATCTCTTTCGCTGGTCATACACCTATAGATTATCTGCAGATTTTCTATGGTCAGGTGGAAAAAGTGCAACAGATTCCTCCATCTACGCTAAACCGTGTGGATGGAGGAATCTCTCGCTGGGCTAAGCTTCAGTATCTTGCTAGTCGGCCCAGCTGGCTCTCAAAATACCTGAGCAATCTAATTGGAAGCAGGTATTTTTCAGGTATTTTAAGAGCCAGCGGGGCTGACTAGCAATATACTAAAGCTTGGCCCAGTGGGAGATTGCTCCATAAACGCAGTTTATGGAGGAATCTGTTGAACGTTTTATATCTGACCACAGGCTGATAGAAAAAAATCTATAGGTGTATGGCCAGCTTAAAGGAGAACTATGAGGTGAGTGCTTTTCACTCACCTTATAGTTCTAGCCGACCTGTGACAATGGGACTGTCACAGGTCGGCTCAGTAGATCGGGAGGTGACCGAACACATACCGGCATTCGCTCACCTCATGATCCTGTCACAGCTCTCTGCCGTGACAGGGGAGGGACTGATTCCCCCCTCCCCGCTCTGATCCGCCAGCGCTGACTGGCGGAACGGACGGGGGAGGGGACAGGTACAGCTGGCTCTGCCTCTAGATAGGCAGAGCCAGCTGTCACTCACGCAGCTGGCGGATCCAGACATAATTGTCGGGATCCGTGTCAGCTGCGGCATCTCAGCTGCTGTCAAGGGATTTGCAACAGAAACTGCAAATTTATTGTAGCTGAGGAAAAAAAAGACCACTGCCAAATAACCTGATAGTATGAAAATTTACAGTGAGTGATTTCTATATTGATTGGACTTTATCATCATTTGTGCTTCACTATGGTCATTCGATTGTCTTGTATGTCTCCTGTGTATTGAGGTGGTAAATGCGTACATGGTGCTCTGCTATTGTACTCTTTTTTTTGCTTTGTTTCTTTCTTAAGGATCCAAAACAGAATCGCATTGGTCAGTGGTTAAACCTAATACCCGATAAAGGCATTATCGATCTGTCCTTTCCACTTGGTTCAGAGTCACAGCTGGGAGTCTATGTGATCATTGCTCCCAATGCTCAGCAAGATTTCCATGTGCTAGAATATGGTGAGTGATTTGTGTTTTATTAATCTGTAGCAGGCATACGATACAGGGCCCCAGTGTAATCATCTTTGGTCATTCTACTGTCATTATATTTCATCTTGAAATGTTTAGTTCCACTCAGTACAACGTCAAAACAGACTGTATGGCATATTGTGTCAATGGCTGTGAAATATGTTATATTGGGTGAGTTTCTTATTTTACTAATGGTTTAAAGGAAACCTGAGCTGTGGGGTCAGGATAGCTGTCTTTAATGGCATCTCCTTCCTAAAATGCTAGCTGCCTGGCTGTCCTGCTGAATCATAGGCTTTACTTTTGAATCTCTGACTTTTATCAAGTATGCAGAACATGGGTTCTGACTTTGTTCCGACTTTCTAATATGCAAGCAGGTCCAGGTCAATGATTCAGAAATAACTGAAGCCAGAGACAGGGATATAGTATTTTTAAGTGCCGAGCCGTTTATAGACACTGACTCCATTGTCTCATCCTGGGGCGAGTATGCTTGGTAACAAACCACCATGGCCCATAAAGCCCATCAGCTGTGAAATTATTATTATCATACAGGATTTATATAGCACCAACAGTTTGGGCAGCGCTTTACAATGACTTTAAGGGCCAGTGCACACCTAGGTGATCTGTCACCGCGCGGCAATCGTGCACGATACCACGCAGATTGTCGCACGTTCATGGAGTTGCCCATCACAGACGATCACGCTGTGGGTGCCATTATATTCTAATGGCAACCCAGTCACGCACGTCGTGTATCGCAAAAGAAAGTTACATGAAATCAATGGGGCCACGTGGCAATCGCTGTCTGCAATTGTGCAGTACCGTGCGATCCCGAATCACTCAGGTCTGCAACGGGCCTTAAAAAAAAGAAGAGTAGCATATGTCTGGATTTGTAGACAGTAGTTCTGTCCAAGGAGCAAAAAGTACACGTAACTTAAGAACTTAAGTAGACATTTTCTTTAAAGTGATTTTTTTTTACTACCTTCATGTGCACAAATAACACTCATACTGTATATCATTGCAGCTCATTACCACACTTGTATCTAAACCAAGCCTCTTCTCATCAGGGATAATTTACTGCTATCATTTTCATAATAAAAATATCAAATTCACCAAAAAGTTGAACATTGTAAGGATGAGAGCACATTTGAACAACAAAAGCCAATGCATTTCAGGGGCTCCCTAAATTCCCCCTTTATCAAGGCTTGTATGCTGAAAGTGAGTTTGAGTTTGTACTAGACAGCTGTTGTAGCATAAAATAAATAAGACCAGGAACCTGGTCATCAGACTGACAGCCTGCTGAACTGATTCCTGGTGCTGTTTGTTTTATGCTACAACAGCTCTCTGTTCAAAAACTCACTGTCAGCATACAAGACCTGATAAAGGTGGAGTTTTGAGCCCCCCAAATCTGTTGTCTTTGGTTTAACATGCCTTAATGAACAAAATTTATACGGGACTTGTCCAAACTTTGTGGCACTTTCATTCTTCCAATGTTCTACAGACCACTCCGGGGACTCTTAGTGACAGCTTGATTGACAGCTTCCTCTAAAAAGCTTGACCTGTTTTTTCATCCACTCTGGGGTCTAGCACTCCAACACATACCTAAATTCACCAAAAAAAAAGTTCTCATTAGAAAAATGTCCAAATCAGTGCAGTGTTTGCGTTTTGGTCAACATCTGCAGCCTGCGTATTTAAAGGAGAACTATGAGGCGAGTGCTTTTCACTCACCTCATAGTTCTAGCTGTAGCTCGCGGTATACTGAGCTTAGGGTGACGGTAGGACCCTAGTTTGTGTCCTCCCGTTACACTAAGGAGAACTATGGAGAAAAGCCTTAACCCCATAGTTCTCCTTTAATGACCAAATGCGTCTTAAGTGCACTTTTACTTATTTTGTGATCTCCACCCCCAGCCTCTACTTCCTGCTTCTAGTAAACTGTCCCCAGTCCAGTGAGATATTGGTTGTGTTGCCTTGTCAATGTTGCACAGCTGCATGCCAAAATCGCTGCTGGACCTGAACATGTAATCCATTCAATACTCTCTAGAGTTTGTATATCTTTTTTATAATTTTTTACTTTTTTAAATTTTGATATTCTAATTAAGGTTTTCTTGTGTACAGTTAGTAGACATGTTTACATATTGTCAACAAGTCGGAAAATCACTATAAAACACACCCTCACTCACCTCTGTATCTATAGGCATTGAGGAGAAATGTATATTCAAATTTCACAACACAGTCATTGAAATCTTGGCCTTTTCATATGAGAACAGATCTTGACAGCTTACTAACCCTCTAATGTAAAGATACAGCAAATGTTTCTAAGCTGTTAAAAAATTATTGGAACCTGACTTTGGAGTCTTTGTTGTGATCTTTCATGATCTTTGAGAATGAATAGCTTCACATTAAAAAGAGCTAAAGAGATAAGTGAGGGCTTGTTTTAAAAGTTACGTCTTGTTAAGAATATGTGAATGGTGTAATGTCCATAGTTTGGGAACAGGTGCAGCTTAAGTAGACCACATGGGGACATGTGAGGCTAATTCCAACGTAGGAAAAATCAATTTTCTGAGAGAAATCACTAAGCTCATCCCTACACCTACCAATCTTACATTCTACTCTTCTGCCTAACAGTCACTCAATTTTACCTTATTCATACTGGGCTCTACAGCATGTTTGGCTAACTCAGTCTTCAGCACTACTTTTCTCCTCTTGGCCCTTAGCGCTAGTTTTTTTCTTCTTTTCTCTTTATTATCACTTTTAACCTTTTGCATCCCAACTAGTACTATACAGCAGCTACAACACTGAGCCAATAATCTTCTCTACATCCATGATTATCATTTTCTATATTTTTAAATTATTAGTAACAATATCTTTGGTTGTATATTTATTTTTGGCTATACATAAATATAATATATTATCTCTTGATTCTATATTTGTTGATGAAGCCTCCATATGTACTAGAATCACAAAAACTTTCTCGAGGTTCTATAGTTTATATATTGGCACATGTTGAGACCATTGTAATGGGTTTTGACTATAATGTTGTATTACAGTGTTTCTTTCACATTGTTTTCATTTTATATTTCCATATTGGTTCTATTTTCAGAGCTGCCAACATTTGAAGTTCTTGTTCAGCTTCCTGCTGTGGTTACTATCCTGACGGAGACCATTCTTTTCAAAATATGTGGAAGGTAAATCAGAATTAAAGAAGTGCTTATTTGTCTAACTTCTTTGTTATTTCTTTCTTTCTTATCATGTAAATAATAGAAACCTTTGCATTATGGGCACACTTTTACAGAAGAATACATGTAAGAGACACATTAAATATCACAGGCAGAACAACGAATGTTAACATTGTATTTTTTATTTAAGAGGTACACAATGGCACAAGCTGATAAAGTTCATCTGTTGAGAACAGAAAGGTGCTGATAATGGTATCAAACTAAAGGCAGTATCTGCTTCCAGGATATTGGGTTCAGGTCACCATGATTAAAAATCGTATTAATCATTTACTTTGCACATTAGTGTAGCCCCATCACCTTTTGTGAGGTGGCTACTAGAAAGTTTGTGATTGCCAGAGCTGAATTACCGTTGGTATTTATCTGGGTAATTCCAGGTGTTCTAGCATTGATTGTACCTGCCTGAGTGGAGTGTGACTCTGCTGCAGTGTGGGGCAGCCAATGGAGGACACTGTGAGTGTGCGTGCAGCCCACTAGCCAATCACTGGGGCTTTCATGGCCAGTGGTGCATGCTGAGATAGTGCATATATACTCAGAGGAATTGCCATATGCTCAGTCTAGTTCAACCTGAGACAGACCAGTCCTGTCAGGGCTGGGTGCTGTCAAGCCTGCCCCCGAGCTAGGCCTCGGGGTGGGGATGCTTGAGTGTGGGAAATGTTTATGCTAGGCCTCAAGCCTGGAGGAGGCCTTTGCTACTAATTGAGGAGGAGAACCAGGGATGCTGGTGGCTGCTGGAGGTGCCTGAAGTGTAATGGACCTTGGGAGCAAGTCTGGTGTCTCTCCTACTGAAGATTATGTACCAATCCCTATTCAACTGTGCTCTCCTACTCAGTGTCAGCATGTGCTCCTATTGAATCTGCACTGAAATACTAAAAGGGACTGGTCAGTCTGGAGTCTGTCTATTTTTTATTGTCTCTCTCTCAGCTCAGATGTTAATAAAGTTCTTCAGGATCATACTTCTGGCCTCGATTTCAGCTCTGTCGGTCACTAGAAGAGGGTGGTTAATTGTATGGGGCAGCTGGTTGCTACAATCCCTAGACAGGCTAGAAAGATGAACCCCCTCAGTGTTTTAATTATATTTCAATATCCAGTCACATTAGGGGGCAGGTTGATGACCAATTTGTGTTGCATAGGTATAGTAGAAAAAATTAGATAATTGACTTAGCAAAGTTGTCTGACAGGGATTCCTGGCTGCCTCTGCCTACAGTACTTTCTATGTCACTGACCTGGAACAAGCATGCAGGTTAGAAAATCAGAGTGAAAGCAAAACTCCTGATCTGCATGTTCCAGGTCAATACCCCAACATTCTGAAGACATTGGATCACAATGATAGTCAGGCAACTAGCAATGTCATAAGCATAGGCCTCTATATTTCTCAGCACAAGTTTCCTTTAAAACTGTCCTCTCAGAGGCATGACAGGGCTGTATAAAAGCTTGACAGGGCTGTATGATAACTAACTTGTTTGTCTGTGGACTATGAAAATAATCATATTCCACATAGCAAAGAGTTTTTTTAAATTAAATGTATAGATTACAAACCACAACCCTCAAATAAACGTTGAACACCTTTCTGAGTGTTTACTGTTTTCTTTATATTCCAGATACACTTTTGGAAAGCCTGTTCAAGGGGAAATCAAAGCCAGGATGTGCCGAAAAGCTTTGTGCTATTACTGGATGGCAAGGAAGAACCAGTGCCCTCAGGATATATGCACTGAATACGGAGGACGGGTATGGAGCAATGAAAAACTTACTGAACAACACTAACACTTACAGCCCACAAGCTCACATATTCACTGTTGGTTAAACATAAATCTGAGTATGCCTTACTCTAATATGGATTATAGAGTAATATGCGATTTTCTTCTACTACTGATAGACTGATAGAAGTGGCTGCTTTGAAACAGAAGTGCAGACAGAGTCATATAATCTGAATTCATACAGCTACCTAATGAAGTTTGATGCTGACGTCTCTCTTATAGAAGATGGTACAGGTAATGCATTGTTGTAATAATTGTTGTAATAGAACTGACATAAATTTGTGCTCTACTAATATAGCACAGAAAATAGGACGTTTACAGTCTTAGCATTAACTATTCTAAATCCTTGTACTGCACTAAGTTATGTGATGCAAATGTATTCCAGAGTAAAAAAACAGCTGACTTGTTGGTGTGTGAAACAATCAGTGGATACAATTGTATGGAACTAGAATTTGTGTTATGATACCAAACTACAGTCATCATCTAATATGATAACTGTTTGGTTTAGGTGGAAGGGTTAGGACAATTCTCCTACTGGGGTACTATCTGTACCCCACTAGGGGATTTCTTTCAATTCCTTTTAATTTGACAAGTGTTAGGTATTACACAGAGCAGGAAGCAAGGGGAAAATCCCACCCAACTGGGGCACTGGCAACAATAAAAACACGTAGAGATTCCCCCTTCACTTCCTGTCCAGGAGAGATATGTCAGAATAGGGAGAAAAAAAGAATTGCCCTTTATAGGAGCACAGACTGAATTTAAAACCTGACAGAAATATTCCCCAGTAGGGACACAGGAGTTCTAACCCTCCCACGGTCTATCCAAAAAAAAGTGTTAGTGTGCGTTCTCCCAGGAGTCATCCTGGGGTCCATATCCTTTCCAATGGACGAGATATTGTAGCCTATTCCAGCGTCCCCTGGAATCAAGTATTTTGGCCACTTCGAACTCCTCTTCCCCGAGTACCTGCACCGGAGGAGGAGTACCTGCAGGAGGAGGGGAGCGGCCAGGGAAAGGATCCGGAGTAAAAGGCGTGAGGAGGGAGACATGGAAAGACGGGTGGATGCGCAGCTCATCCGGCAGGGTGAGTATTACCGCGTTAGGGTTCAACACCCTTTCTATAGGGAAGGGACCCAGGAAGAGTTTGCTACGTTTTTTGGAAGGAGTACCCAAACGTAGGTGAGATGGGCCCTGTAGAGGAGGTAGTACCGTCGATAAAACTCACAGAAACCGGTGTTGCTTTCTTGGAATGAGGGATTTTATTGAGTTTTACAAGTTGGATGTCTATGAAATTTCCACAGGCTCCGGTATCCAGCATCGCCCTAGTAGTCATCCGGACTTGGTCCCACTGTAGGGTGAGAGAAAGGAATATGTAGTCATTTGAACGGGGCGTAGCAGGACTGATTTTGCACATATGAAGAGCCTTACCTCCACTCCTCTTGGTGATTATAGGGCAGGCATCAACCTCATGTTTGGGAGAGGCACAGTACAGACAGAGGTTTTGGACTCTTCTTCGGGTTTTTTCCACTTGCGTCAAAGGACCCCGCATGGTTCCGATCTCCATCTTTTCCACGGGAGGGGGGCTCACTCTTGGGTATGATGGGTAGGTGCCAGAAACCCTCTCAGCACGCCTTTCCCTTAGGCGTCTGTCTATGGTGATGGACCGCTGAATGAGGCCTTCGAGAGTGTGAGGAAGATCATCCCTTGCCAGTTCGTCCTTCAAGGTCTCAGAGAGACCGAGTCGGAACTGATTCCGGAGACCGATGTCATTCCACTCGGTCTCTCTGGCCCAACGCTGGAATTCTGCAACAAAATCCTCAACCGGCCTCTTCCCCTGCTTCAGGGCCCTTATGGCATTTTCCGCCGTAATTTGCTTGCTGGAATCCTCGTATAGGCGAGACATGGCCTCCAAGAATCGAGGATAGGAATTCAAGAGAGGGTCCTCTTTATCAATGTAAGTATCGGCCCACGCTCTGGGTTCTCCTCTGAGATAGGAGATTAGCGTGAGAACTTTCACCCGATCCGTAGGGTAGGTTCGCGGCAGCAAGTCGAACATCAATTTACAAGAATTGATGAACTCTCTGAACATCTTGCGTTTCCCAGCAAAGGGTTCGGGAGGATTGACCTTGGGTTCTGGACCTTCTTTCTGTGCAGCAGCATTTTGAGCTATAGTCATCTTTAGTGCTTGATTTTCAAGCTGGAGGTCATGCAGAGACCTGTTCAAGGTCTCTACCTTCTGATTTAGGGTAACTATATGGCCCGCTAGTTCCGCTGGATTCATGGTAAATGGGTTCCACTATATTGTGAGGGCCTGGCCAGACAGGCTTGAATCTCAGCTGCGGAACAACTAAGGAAGCAGGTAGTTTAGTATAAACGGTATTCAGTGTCGGCCTCCTGGCATCTCTCTCTCTCTGTCAATTGAGAGTTAGGAGTCCTACCATCATTTACCATAAAGAAAAGAGGGTAGTTTAGAGACCAGTATGTATTTCCAGCATACGCAGGGTCAAAGCAACGAAGATTTTAGATTCTTATGAAGCAAGAGAGGTTATTGAAGGCAATGGATTACTGAGGTTCAAGATCACAACAGTCTTCTATACCTTGCAGGAGTTTAGTTCAGGGTTATAACATTTGAGCATACATGCAGTATGAAGTCAATCAGTAATAGGAAGGTTTCCCATTCACATATATAGTAGGGGGTAGCAGTTCACAGATCTCCTATGGTAGAGTGGTGGCAAGTAGATGCAATATAGAAGCAACCAGCAGATGGAGCCGACTCAAATAATAGATGACACAGATACTTGCTGTTTGTAGGTTTCTCTGTTCGTCCCTGAGCAGGGGGAAGCTGCAGTGTCCTGATCCACTCACAGTTGGTCTCTCTCTCTCCAGGTTAGGGGGTCCAGGGTTCGTATGGCCGGCAGAGTCAGCAGGTGCTCACTCCACAGTAGCTATAGTCGAACACCGAGCTGACTGTCTGCCGGCGTTTTAAGGCGGAAGGAATGAGGCGGTGCCAGTGACGTCATTGGGCCGATGCGTTCCAGGCTGGAACGCATCGGCTCTTTCAGGACTTCCTGGTTTGTGGCTGCGTTCCAGCCTGGAAGGCACGGACGTGCCGCGATCCTTACAGTTAGCAGTAGTTGGGCTTTAATTAAGTATTTGCCCTTACAATCCAAGCAAGTTACAAAGGATAGATCCTAGTCCATTTACACCCCTCCTTTTTGGATAGAAGCTTCAGAAACTTGGACATCTGCTTGGTTTTATAGGGTAAGGGTTAATAAGTGCTGAGAGACACCACATATTCCTGGATTACTTCAATCTCATAATATACCTGCAAGACATGCATACTATCTGCTAGTTACTAAGAAGAATGAGTACCCTAAATAAGCTCTTTGCTCTCTTTACAGGAATCCAATCCAATGCTACCGGCAGCTGCAAAGTTTCAGCTATGATTACTAAAGTGACCTTTGAAGAAACAGAAGCATCAGATTCTTACTACAAAGCAGGCCTGAGATACAGGGGAAGGGTAAGAAATGATGGCTGGTGACATGATGAATCAGGAGTGGAATTAATCGTTAACATTTTTGATCGATTAAAGTTCTTTTGATCGCTAATGAATACACTCACCTCTCTGGCGGCTTCCGGGCGTCCCGTCGGAGATCCGGTGACGTCACGGACATCGACGTCACCGGACTCCTCCCCACCTTCGCCAAGTGGCTCAGTCGGCTAACGAAGGGAAGGGGGGAGGAGTCTGGTGATGTTGATGCCCGTGGCGTCACTGGACTCCTCCCCCCTTCCCTTCGTTAGACCCATCAATTCCTTCAGCATTCATGTGGCATTGCTGGATGATTTACTGTGGGGGGTCAGGTGAGGTAGAAAATGCCATGACGCTGAATTTAAAGCAAAGACTGCAGCTGTTTCAAACTTCATGTGTGCTGGGACTTCTTTGAAACAAAATACTACCATTATGTAGCTTATGTTTGGGAGTACATTTAATGGCTAATAATTTTAGCATTTGTGTCGTTTAGCTGGAGTATGTGGAGTATGTAATGGAAGAAAAAGGAGTTCACTTTAACTTTGCTATACACTATATTACTAAAAAGTAAAGCAGTATTTCCCTTTACATTACTGTTTCCAATAAACTATTGCACATTACTAAGTCGCCAATGAGCATTAAGAAACAGCATTAATTTATAGTGGACCTGTACTCCAAAATTTCAAAATTGCTACGTTATAGAGAAGATCTAGAAAAGTAATTTTCCTTTTTTTGGGCACAGCTTCCACAGTTCAGGTCATTTTTCAGTGTTCCCCATTTCACTTTATGATGCAAGTGTGGAGATACAACATTTGACAACTCTACTGGCATCTATCCAGGAGGAAAATATTAGTGTTGTGTGATCTGTTTAAAGAATCATTATCTCTACATAATGTGAAAAAAAACTCATTATTAGTCCAGTTCAAACACTAGTAGGTCTGCAGAGGTAGTATGGGTAACTCCATTTACATCCATAGCAGGATAATGTCCAAGATTTGACTTTGTTTACGTTTCTTGGTCTGTTAATGTTTGTATGTGTTTGCTCTGATAGTAGAGGCATCTGTTTATGTTTATTGTGGATGGGATGCTCTGAACTGTTCCCATCTACAGGAGTGACATGTTTATTCATGTACTCATGTACATCCTTTTCGGTTAATCTGTGCCAAGGTGGGCCTTGTGGCTGGTGCTGGGTGTCAGAGGATTTCTAAAGGGTAGATATTTAAAGGCTCTCCTTGAACTCCTCCTAATATGCCAATTGGAAGCTGTTTATCTCAATCTCAATATAAGTCAGATGGGATAAGTCATTCTGGTACCTTTGCTGAAATCATACAGTGCTAAGTGGGATAGTCAAGTGTAATAAAATCACACGAGTAGCCTTCTTGTGGTTAAAAAAGGAAATGTTGCATCCAAGAACCATTTTTGATGAGAAGTAAATTCAATAAAACTCCAGTTAAATACACCTAAAGGTGTTAATGACATATCACTTGTAACAGACCCATTAAAAGCTTACACTGGGCATTCGTCCGCCTGAGGGCTAAATGAGAAAATATAACAGATACATCCATCCACACTAAACAGCATAGATAGACACATCTCCTAGTGTGTTCTTTGTAATCTGACAGTGGTGGGTGTGCCGCTGTCAGAATACCCGAACAGTGATGGCAGCCATCACAGTTTGCTCGATAATTTTCCATCCGGCTCCTTCCATTTCTCATCTGGCTCCTTCAATTTCCTAATCGAAGGATACCAGGCGTAAGGGTGCCAACAGGGGCACTAATTGTGCGAATTCATCAAGAACACAATGAGCACTTAACCCTTGCCGTGCAGGGGTAGCCCCTTTGCAAGGGTAAGTTTTAAATATTCCCAGACTTCTTATTTAAGTCTTTGTATGATCACCAGGAAAGGAAGTGAGCAAAATATCTACAGTGGGAACACCAGTTGCATTTAAAGAATCATATTTGGGGAGTTTTGGGCTCACTTTTGGTGTGGTGACTGGGGCAAAGAGGTATGGAATATTTCCCCAACAGAGACACAGATGGCTAAATTAACCCAACTACAGAGAACAACTTTTTTTATTTGGAGTTCTAAACATCACTACTCTGTTTTAATCTCTTGTTCTCCTAGGTAAAATTATCAAGTGCTGATGGATCAGCAATGAAATCTCAGACATTGTATGTGACAGAGGAATATGATACTGTGATAAAGGAACGTGTGTATGAGACAGATGAGAAGGGGGAAGTGAGTTTCACATTGGACACAACACCATGGAGTGGACATACAGTTTATCTGAAAGTGAGTAAGATCTTGCTGGGAAAAGCCTCCCATATTTTCGTATGAATGAAGCCACATTTGCAAGACTCTTCGGCAGAATATCTGTTATGGAATTATAACAAACACAAATGAACCTCAGGAGTTTTTCTTATAACCCAAAGAGACATTCTAACATCTTGGAGAGTAAGGTTAATGTTCCCTGGGGCAGAAAGAAAAGTCACAGTGGGTCTTGCAGGCAGAGCCGGATTTCCCACAAGGCCAACCAAGGCCCAGCCCTGAGGCAGCAGGGAGTAGAAAACAACTACCCAACTATCCATTGGGTAGATGTTCTCTACATTTAGCCCTGCTTTGGGCAAGCAGAGCTTCGTCGGCCACCAGTGG